GGTGGCTATAAATATTTTAAATAAAACCCATAAATAAATCAGTGCTTTGTCATGTTCTAGCCAAGAACTGTAATTACTATATAATCTTCTCCAACACACTCCTATTTGAGGTTCTCATCTTTCTTCCAGTAAGCTTACAGCCATAGGAGATGTCCACATGAATTAGTGAATAATGAGATTCACCTATTGTATCATCCAGATACTCTAGAATTGCAGTTTCATGGTACTTTAAGGTTATGGTATAGAAATAACACCCCTTCCACCTCCTGCCATTGTTACATGAGTGGCAGAATCCATGGAACTTATTCCTATTAATTTTGAAAGACATCTGTTCATGCTAGTGAGATAACCATGACAAAACATTCTTAAATTGTTATATGCCTGCCTCCAATTGAATCTTACCTTTAAATACTGGCAACTAAACATTCTTTAAATACCAAACATCTGGAAGGTATCCAAGGTGAAAAACACTGGACTGGCCAACTAAGGAGGTTCAGTAAATGTCTCCACCATTGTCAAAGCTACTTGTGGTGCTTCAGGATAGGTGTCTTCCTGGCAAATCTCTGATGCTGGATGAGGAAGTGGGGACTTCAGAGGCGAGCAATCTTTTGGGTTTCTCTGTTACATGCAGGAGAGAAACAGAGGCCTTGGCTTCTCACCTGAATGACTGCACTCACTTAGTTTAATTTCCTTATTTCCTTTAGTTATCTCCCCCACCCCACCCCAATTCAATCTTGTTTGACTGTTGGAGAATGCCTGGACAAGTCTCTGCAATTTTCTTGGTGAGGTTTTTTTTATAAAAGATGTATTGCATGATTTATTCCTTTTCAATATAACTGACTAGCCTTTCTATAGTAATTTGTCTTTTTATCCAATTACACTACTTTCACATTTACAAATCTACATTGCTAAGAAATTGAATAAACACCATTGTGTAACCACTAGAGGGCAGAAGATACAAATATGAGGGTTAAAATGCTGAAGTATTTTAGGAAGTAGAGGTGAGAAATATTCTCACAAATTGTGAAGATGGTTTATATCCCTACTATTTGCTAAAGTACTTCTTGAGCGCTAAACACCTTGTAGAACGTGTCCTAAATAAATAAAGTTGAAGAAGACATAATTTTTTCTGAGTGTTTTCCTTTTCAGACTCACAATTATAAAAAAACCTGAACCATTAAAATTAGTTATTGAAATACCATAGGAGCCATTGATCCAAAGATCCAAATGATATGGGTTGCATCTAATATGTCTAGATGGTCAGAAATTTGGAGAGCGTTCTTGCAGGCATTTGATTATTTGCAAAAGTAAAACAAATTTAAATAATAATAATAAACAGCATATGAGTATGATACAGCTGCAAAGAAGATAATACAATTTTGGGCAACATCAACAGGAATGTAATTTCCAAATCATGACAAATAATCATTCCACTTGAATCTCCTTTGGTTCAGCCACTCCTTGAGTACAGTGACTAATAGTTCTGAACCCCCCATTTTTATTCTAATAAATTAGAATACGTATACAGAAAGGCAGTAGAGATGCTCAGAGATCTGTAAAACCGAGCCTTATGGAGAAAATTTATTTTAAGAAAATATGAATAAGGTATTTGTTTTATATTCTGCTTTATTTTTTTAATAAATAACTCAATGTGGAAAACATACCTAATATAGCTTACTCCAGTGGTGTATTAACCATTAAGCAGACTAAGCAGGTGCTTAGGGCACCAGGCCCAAAGGGGCACCACAAAGGTGAGAATATGGCTTCATTTGTACAGTGTAAAGGGGCACCAAGATTTATCAGTGCTTACGGCACCAGTGAGCCTTAATCCGCCAGTGCCTTACTCCTCCTATTTATCTCACAACAACAATCGTTCTGATTCTGTAAACAGGAGTGTCAAACTCACATCATCATGGTGGGATCACATGACATATTGGGATTTTTTTCCCCTCTTCGCTAAACTGGGTGTGGGTGTGGCCAGCATGTGACGCATCTAGCCCACAGGCTGGGAATTTGACAGCCCTGCTATAAACAGTTAAGAAAGGGCTTCAAAGCATTGTGAAGCAGCATATAAGTCTAAGTGTGATTGCTATTGCTATTCTGTGAGGTGGGTTTGCCCGAGAGAGGGAAGTAGCTAATCCAAAGTCACCCATCTGATTTTTCATGGTGAAGTGGAACTTCGCCATGAAACTAGACTTCACCAACTCCTGATTTACAGCTGAATGCCATAACCATTTGATCAAACTGGCTCTAAATAGTATTTGATATCCACAAATTTATTTTGAATTTGAATTGTCAGACTAATATCAAATATTACTGTCCAAATAACTGGAAGTACGTCACACAGAAGAAAGTAAAGGAGTTATCTCTCATTCCAGTCTGCAGGAGACAGAACAGTGGACTTAAGTCACAGGAAAATTGATTCTGATGGAATGTTAGTGGGGAAATTCTAACAATGAGAGCAGCCTGACAGTGAAAGCAATTACCCAGAGAGGTTGTGGGCTTCTTTTCATTAGAAATATTCAAGGAGAAGCTACATTGCCATCTGTCTGGGATGTATTAATCTGATTCCTGTGCTGAACCAGAGGGTTGATCCAATGGCCTTTTTAATCTATCAGAATCGATGATGCTGTTATGGGCAATACCATAAATACAACCACTGTGAATTTTAATCTCTCTTATGCTTGACTATTTTTGTGTAAGATTTCTTAAATAGTACATATTTATCATTTAAATTGATTTAAAGAAATCAATGGGAGGTTCAGTTCAGAAATTGTATTTTTTATACAGCACACAATCAAACGAAGGAATTAATTACCTCAAGAAGTAGTAATGGACATCATAATCTTATTGCCTTTTTAAGGGTGTGGCTTGAATATATTTATTGGGAATAAAGCCTTATTGAAGTCAGTGGGAACATGCACATGACTTTGAAAATGAACGGAAAATAACTCTATTAATCAAGAAAGAAAAATTGAAAATAGCATGGTCCCGGGTTATCACTTCTTCATACAGACACAAACTCAATTTCATGCTCATTTTTGTGTTCTATTCCATATCTTATTACTGTTTTACATTTTCTACATAGTTTTTTCCCTCTTTTAATTTTCTCAACTTTATTTTGATTATCTCATCTCAATTCAAATCATATTTATACTTTTGTCTGTCCTGTTTCAATTTCATATTATCTTTTCTCATTAAACAAATTTTCTCCTGTAGTTACTTTTTCAAAAAAGATGTTTTACTTGTATTGGTTTTTTTTTGTGAAAACCCATATAAAATTTTTAAAAAAGAAAGGAAAATTGCACCTTAAGGTACCTCTGATTACTTAATCTTAAAACCAATATTTAGGATATCCAGGTTCTTAATTATCCATAGGCCAGTTCTTTGGTTTGATTCTTATAAAGTTATTATATTTTATATAAAATGTTAGCAGTTATTGTTGTGAGCGTATGCATAGCTAATACGGAGATGGAGATGCTAACGTGGACCCAGGAAATTAAGCTGCTTCTGACCAACTGTTGCCAATTTGTTCCAGCTATTAAAAAGCTGGACATATCTATTCAGAAATTCAGTAACTCTCAGTATCTTTGGTACCTGCATATTGATAAAGGGCTGCTGCAAAACAGGCCTTAGAACTATATTCTCAGTGGTGGATTAGAACGGCCAAATCACTGTGACACACAGTAAAACATTCTTACCTGTTTAATAATGAGCCAATAGTCATATTAGATCAGAATATCCAGTTTAGCTTTGCTAGTAGACTGTGGCCACCCCTATTCTTCAAGAGGCCTCATATTCTTGCATGCTTAATATCTACTTGGTAGATTTCAGTGTACTCCTAGTTAAATTTGGAGGTTGCGTCCACTGTGTTAAGTACTCACCATCAGCAAACCTCTCCCAATAAACAAAAGATTTATTCACTATCTTTCACAGTAGTTCCACAGAAGCAGACATAAGGCCTGGATGTTTTTCCTCCCCTTTGAAGAAATCACAGATGGCTGGATTTGCTCAACTGCATGATTTGCAAAAAGGCCAACACTGGGTACACAAAGCTTATTAAGCCAAAACAGTTGTGACTTAGTGAGATATATGAATCAGGCCAATATTTTTTTTCCTATTTGCTTTCCCTACACTATAAATCTCTAAATTTTATCTGAGGAAAAACGTCTCATTGAGTAGTGAGAATGTATGGGGAGCAGTTGGAAAGTACAGCTGGAAGAACTGGGTCTTTGTGGTTTCATTCTACAATTCTGTGTAGTTCTAGGTAATATTCTACACGTATTCCTACATTGGGCAACGAATTAACTCTTAGAAGCTCATCCAATCTTTCTGTATTATGGTTCAGAGTATGAAGTGGCAGGATGTTTTTTTTTCCATTGCACGGACTCTGTTTTAACCTATTTCTATTCCTCTCTTCCATTCTCAAAAACCTGTTTATTCAACAAACGAGTCTATCGCCGATCAAACTCTCGTTAGCCCCAATTAAACAATCGCTTAAAACTATCCAATGCAGAGCTTGCCAAGCTTTCCGATTATAACAGGGTAATTTTAGATTATTCAGATTATTAAATTCTCTTGATTCTCTCTGTTTAGCGTCAAGCATGTTCCTAGGCATGTCGGCATGCCTTCTAATTTGCCCCTGGGAATATAACCCACCATTGCTTTTGCCAAAATGAGAGAAAAGAATGTTCTGCTGCAGTATTTTGGATCCGTGGCGCTCTTTTTATTCTGAGGCGGCATGACGCTATTCACATTGGGGGGGAGAAATGATGTCTGGATTAGGAGAGGACCATAGCAAGTCTGATTCACCCAGCACCGTTTGTTAAATAAAACTGAACGGCTGGGTCCCCACGTCAGCAAAGATCACGCCGGCTTCCCCGTCCTGCCCCTCGGCGACCAGTCCGGCCCACCCTCCCGCTGGTGGCGCTGTGGCTGGAGGTCTGGACAGCCACCGCAGGGAGCTGCCGTCACCGCCTGCCCTCTGCCGGGCGAGGAGGGGCAGGAGCGCGCCGAGTGACGTGTCCTCTCTCCCCCCCCCCCCCACCAGATCCCGGAGCTTAGCATGATTCATCAACAGCTGCCGCTAAGATGCTGCGCGCAACCCCGATGTAGCGCTTGAGCGCCCACCCTCTCGCCGCACCCCCGGCCCGGAGACTTTCCCTTTCCCTTTGGGCGCCTCGGAAAAAAGGCGGGCAAGATGGAAGAAATCCTGAAGAAGCTGCAGAAGGAAGCGTCGGGGAGCAAATACAAGGCGATCAAGGAGAGTTGCACCTGGGCCAGCGGTAAGGAAGCGAGCGGCAGGCGGCAGGCACCTTCCCTCTTCCTCCTGCACCTCCTCCGCGCCAGCAAGGAAAGCCGACCCGCTCTTCCTGGGCTGCTTTTCCAATGCCTTCTGCGCCAGCTGCACCTTTCCACCCCAGTTATCGCCCAACCTGCCTTTAAAAACCCGGGGCTGAGGTGTTTTTGTGCCGTTTCTCAATGCGCTTTTGCGGTCGCGTCCATCCTCGGCTGTCTATTTCTTCGCTCCGCGCGGGTCGAGGGACCCTTTGCTCTCCTGGCAATGGGCTCTCCTCCGCCCACATCTCCGATGTATTTACTCCAGTATGTATATTACGGAGATTTTCAGTCATGCAGGTCATGGTTGTCCCAAAGGTGCCTTTTTTTTTTCAAGAGGCAAGTGGACTTTCTGGTTTTTCTTGGAAGACCTTTCGTTTCTCACCCAAGAAGCTTTTTCAGCTCAGACAAGAGAAAGGTCTTCCAAGAAAAACCAGAAAGTCCACTTGCCTCCTGAAAAATACCCAAGTATATTTTTACAATCACCTCTAGGGCTGCAGTAAATCCCCCATGTACTCAGATTGTGTTAAGGCTTATTTCTTTAGCTCTTTTTAAAACTCTATTCTGAAAGCTGGATTGTGTTTTTGTTTTGGTCCCTTGGAGTCAGTTGCAACTTCTGTTATTCTGGGCAACAAGTCTGTCATCCAGTCACTTTCTATGCGTGAGGCAGGGCTAGAACTTGGGTGTCCGTGCTCCTAGCATGGCTTTAACCATCAGGCCAGACTGCCTTTGCTCCTAAGATGCAGAACTGGTCAAGCGCCCATAGGAAAATAATAAAAACAGAAATGTGCTACAAGTTGCCATCGACATATGACCACAGTTCGGATAGGAAAATTCATCGCTAAGCAATCATCATGTGAGACATCAGGTGACTGCACCCAATTTTATAACCTTTTCTTCCAAGGTTGTTAAGTGAGACATCACATGACTGTTTCTTGTGACATTTCCTGCTGGCTTATTCATCCAAACCCAACTGGGAAGGTCACAAATGACCATCACAGGAAGCTGCTATTATGGTAAACGCAAGCCAGTTGCTAAGATCCTGGTTTGCAGTCACGTAACCACAGCGATGCTGCCATAGCTGTAAGCGTGAGGACCAATCATAAGTCACTTTTGTCAGCACCATCATAACTTTGAATAGTCCTTAAACAAATGGTATTGAGGGCTACCCATATGCTGATAAGTTGAGGACTACCTATACACTGATTTAATTTAGCCAGTCACAAGTGTTGGGGTAGTCAGAGTATCCATGCATCCTCCCTTGCAAACATCCGTTTTCTGATGAAATAACTACCATAGAGGACTTTTTGAAGGCAATTTTTATAATTCAATGGTTGTCCAAGACTCCTTGACAACACCCCGTAGAATGGCGATAGCAGGGCCTATTAATAATTGGCATCTGGCAGCAAGCCAGCCTGGCAAACAACCAGCCCTTGTTTTCCAGCTGTAGCTGAAAGCTGTATATATTTTTTCTCCTTTAATGAAACATACACTTAATCTATTGCTACAATCCCTTCGGGATTGTTCATTTTTAATCCATTTTTCTTGGTTTGGTGATCTATAAGTGACACTTTACAATAAACCAAGCAGGAATATTACTGCAATCTCCATATCTGCAGGTAATGAATATTAAAAGGAAAATGGTAACAATAATAGATTGGGATTATAAAGTTGCTGGCTTAATATCCTGTGAGTGCCTAGCAATTTATTATTCTGCCAACAGCTTTATTTAAGCTATTTTGTGATGGTATCTGCAGGGAGGAAATTAAAATGTCAAAATGTAATCAAAGCCCTACCCCTTTTAAACATGCATTTTACATACATACACAGGCCTCTACTAACCTGCAACACACAAGACATTCTGATTAGAAAATGGTCAAACAAGATATCACAGTGTAGATTAAAGAAAAAATGTACCTGCTCACTTTTTTTATCAATATATACTTTCTTTAGTTATATAAAGATTTTCTTTAGTTATATAAATTTGGTATGCTATATAAATGTGCATGTCGTTCTATGCTAGGTGCTTCACTATTTTTATAACTTTAAAATGGTTGATAGTTTTGCCTTTGCTATTCATATGTAGAGTAATAGTCTTTTTAACATGTTCCTTGAAGTTATATATTTAAGAAGTTTACGCTGTTGAGGTTTTAAAATAAATTAAGTATCCTTGCATCAACGTGTGCTAAAATAATTCACTTTTTTTTTATTCAGAGCTAGGAATGGGGTAATCCATAGGATGAATTATTTTATTTTCACTTACCAATTAGAGAAAAATAGGTTAGGGAGGATTTTAAATAATGGATACCATTCAGTTCAGATTAAATTAGTGTTTGTAAAATCTTCTGATTCAAACAATAAAAAGTAACATGGATCATAAAACTATACTTTTATTTATTTTAAGATTTGAGTTTGGTACATTAATTAAACAATAATTCATGTGCATTTTCTTACATAAGCAGAATAAACTCATATAGAAGTTAGGAAATGGTATCATTTAAGCTAAAGAGACAAGATTTGAGATATCTTATTGTACCATATGGAAAGGGACTTTACCAAGGAAAAAGTAGGCCTAAATAAGAGGAAGAACAGAGCCTATAAAATAATTTATTGGGGCAAAGTTGATTTTAATTTAGTTCTGAACACTTGAATACCTGCTCATGTCAGTCTACATATGTGTAGTTGCAGTGTACAACTTGAAAAATTTTAATCTGTGATAATCCTGATTGAGCAAGATGGGACTTCAAGTTGCGTAAGACTATATATATTGATGTATGTTTTCAATTCCATGCTGGATGCTTTCTGAAACAATTCATTGCCCCTTTTCTATTCAGAAACATTAGAATCTCTGGATGGTACTACAAAGATCCCTCCTTATCAGTTAAGGTAGGAAATACTTTTTTTTTTATTCTTCGCTTATGAGTGACATTTGAAATGAAAGAGTGAAAGTCTTTTCTTTTTTATATTTGCTGACTCTTCAAATCAGTGTGGCACTGCTAGGAACTAAGATAAAAGCAAATTGTCCCATTGGTCAAGTTTTCCATTTTCTCACTATTGTTATGTATTTGTGGTTCTGAGATGTTCAACAATGCTTGAGTACATAGATTGCTTGAAATATGGTGCGAAATGCTGTGTTTGTCAAGGCATTCTTTTCCTTTCCCCCAACTTCTGTAAAAACTCAGCCCCCAAAATCAACAAGAACATCACATCTATTGTAATGGGGGAAGGAGAAAAGAAATGAAGGTAGTAACTTGGAAGCTTTTAAAGTGCCATTGTGAAGTGCATTCCTGTGCTATCCCAATTAATGCTGCCATCATTAATTCACATTGTTATTGCTTTTTTTGGTAATAGTAATTCCATAATCAGAGAAAGACAATTCTATAAAATCCGCATGGTTCAAAGCTTATAAAAGTCTAAAGGCCACAAAATATGTAAAGAAATGGAAATGGGTGAAATTAAAAGCTCAGAAGAGATTATGAATTATGCTTCTCTTTCTAATAAATTGTTTGAAAGTAGACACCAATTTGGCACTGGATGCCCCCTTCTTGCATAGGAAAAAAATGACTTAGTTAATATATTGTTTAATCCTAGTGTGTGCAATGAACCAATTTTGGGCAGGCTTATTCATAAACCATATTTTCAGTCACAGTAGCTGGGTTCATACAACACATTACGCCATAAACATACTAATAGTGTTATTGATGATGATAATAGTGTTATAGATCAGACCGGTACCGGTCCGTGGAACAATTTCTACCGGGCCGCCGGTTTGCTGGGCGCCGCCATCTTGTTTTGATGAAAAAGTGCTTCCGGTGAGCTTTTCCGGGTAGAAAGTGGCATTTGGGTGCTGAAAGAATCCTCGCGCCTTAGTTTCATCAAGGGGGGGCGGCTTTGAACAAAACTAAGGCGCGAGGATTCTTTCAGCATGCATGGCAAGGCGAGCCGAGCGACTGTCCCGAAGCCGTCGTGAAGCCCATCGACACAGGTACAAAGGAGGAGTAGAAGGTGGCGGGGAGAAGTGGGGGACTGCTGGCTGGCCGGTCACTCGGCTCGCCTTGCCATGCGTGCTGATGCCGGTACCGGGCCACGGATGATTTTGTGATGCTGGTACCGGGCCGCGGCACAAAAAAGGTTGGGGACCACTGTTATAGATAATGATGCATTATGCATGAATTTAGATGATGTGCAAGTTTTGGGAAACATTAAAATGTCATTAGGTAATAACAGTAGCAGGATTAAGACTATAGAAGCAGGGGAGCAAACATTACAGATCTGTCATGAAGTTCTAGATATATTTTTGTCTTTGGGGCCATAGCTTTGGCATATTTCTGATGGTTAGAAGGCCTTGGGTTATGGAGGATAGTACAAAATGTATCTCCATGCTTTCCTTCTTTGTTATTTCCTATTTGCTTTGTTCTCTGGATTGATACTGATAAAAGTCCAGCCTAAGTGGCTACTTATTAGCATTTATGGAAGATGAAGTGCAAGTATAGGACACAATTGAACAGAAGATATATATGTGTGTATACGTGTGTGTGTGTGTATCATACATACATATACATACACACACACACACACACACACACACGTATACACACACACTTCTGTCCTATTTTCAGAGGCTGCCTGGACTGACAAGGTTCTTCAGAAGAGGTTTGCCATTGCCTCCTTCTTAGGGCTGAGAGAAACTAATTGGCCCAAGGTCACCCAGCTGACTGCCTAAGGCAGGACTAAACCACACAGACTTCCAGTTTTTAGCCATGTGTCATTACTACATATCAATATTAAAACAGAAGCAAGGAAGAGCTTCCTTCATAACTGGCAACAACAAGTATTGTGCCCATAAAAATATAACCATTTTGTGTGAGAGCACAATTGACTTCAAGATTTCTTATTTTCTGTATGAATTTATTTCTTGACCTTTTAACTATGGCTCTAATACAGGGGTCCCCAACTCGGCAACTTTAAAACTTGTCCTTCAGTCCACAAGTCTTAAAGTTGCCAAGTTTGAAGACCTCTGCTCTAATAGATGAAAAAAAGGAGAAACAATTTTCTCAATCACACCACCATTACATGGTGGATTTGTCTTATAATTGTTAGCCATATGGCATATGTTCCCTCACACTTATGAAGAAAATCATGTTCTGAAATTTTGTGTCATTTCCTTTAGCTTTGGACAACATTTTCTAACACTGTAGTTCTAGATTACGTAGATTTTTTTTAAAAAAAGAGAATGTCAATAGTTGCTTTTGCTTTGGTTTACATCTGCAGGTTATGTGGTATAATAAAAGCTAAGTTTAGAACTATCTTTCTGCTCTAATAAGTAGGACAGGCAATTTTAAGGATTGCCTGAGCTTTTGCAGAAGGTGGGTAAAGCTCATGGGAGTTGCGTGCAACTTTTGTAAAATTGGTTCAGGTTGTAAAAAAATATGAAGCCAATTTAATTTCCTTCTTTCTAAGCATTAGAAAACTAAAAGTTTTTTCGTCCTGGGTTTCTGCCAGGATTGTGCATCTAGAAGTGCTTTTCCCCATGTCGCTATTTCATGCATCAACAATGGCTTCCATTCAATCGCTTCAACATTTACCAAGATGATGTGGTAATCTTTGATAGCCTTCCATTGAAATAATTTTTGCAAACTTTGTTTCAGTTTCCACTTTTTACTTTCTTCATGTCAAATACTTTCACTGGTCTGAACCTTTAAGTAATCTGACTTTAGATAATCTGACTAATTCAGACAATCCCTTACATATTGTTTATTAGACTTATATCTCTCTGTTCCTTAAAACAATTCAAGGTAGCATCCATAGTGCTCTTTTCTCCCATTTTCCCCCTAACAGCAACTTTGTGAGGTAGGTTGAGCTGAGAAAAAGCATGTGGCTGAAAATCACCCTGTGAGCATCCATAGTTAAATGTAGAGTAGAACCTGAGTCTCCTTGCTTCTGGTACGTATAGCCACAATGATAAATAAAATGCTTATGCAGTAAGAAGAATGAAATAATTGTTCACTGCTTTGAAGACATAGTAATAAATTCAATTGGATTGTATTCAAAGAAATGGACATTTCCAAACATGTTCTTAGACTTCTATTCTGTATGTCAATTGAAGTAGGCTGGAATTTTAGAAGTTTCATGCTATAATTCATTTGTCCATTTTACAGTTCCAAACTATACTTCATTTGCCTATTTTACAGTTGTTTGGTTTAGTTTTTTATTCCCCATTGCAGTGTTAAAATTCAAACTCTAGCATTCTGGAGCTAGTGGAACTATCCGATGGGTCAAATTGTAGAATGAAGAGATTAGTGATAAAACTTTAGCTGATAAGGGCAGGAAGTATCTAATTGGTATTTAATGTTGCTAAATGCTGTGATGGGAATTAAGAAGGTCCCATAACATTAATCAGAGCTTTGGCTAAATCAGAGCTTCGGTTAAAACCTCTTTGGCTAAGAGGTTAACTAACTGAATTAGGTTGTGATTTGTAATATATTTCCCTACAATACTGTACTCAGGTCCAAATAAGGGCAAACATTTCAGATGACCACTAATAGGAAATTAAGAGTTTCCTCTATCTCTCTGCTTCCATCTAATAGTCTTCAAGATTTTTTAAACCCAACTAGTTCCATAGTTTACCAATAAACCAATTTTATCCGTTAAAATGTTGTATCTTTACCTGAAGGGTTTTCTGACGATCAATGTATTTGTGGATTTTAGTTGTAATGCACTACATCAGCTTTGCTAGAATTTACCTTGTTCCTTTGCCAGATTGATGTCTAGATGATTGCCATACAGTAATAATAGTGGCAACAGAGATTTTTGTTTCTAAGGGCACAATAAATATAGCAGAATCAAGCTAGAATTTCCAAACATGTTCAGAATGTACTTTTTTCTGCTTTTGCTTCGTTGCTTTGTTCTTTTCTTACACTCGATGTTAGAAAGGAAGAATGGGTTCAGAAATAATCTTCTCATTATCCTTTCAAATCCAACCCATAGACTTTAATATCTAAGGATTTACTAGCATCACAAATCGGATGTTAAGGTATTTTACATTTGTAGTAGTAAGGGTAGAGGTTTGAATGCTGGATCTTTGGGTTCTTGCCTGAATAATCCAGCTTTGTTGATGTTGAAAATAAGAATGGATAAATTCCCATTCCCTCTGATTATATCTCATAGACTTTTAGCTAAAATTGATGGCCAAAGAGAGCCATATTGTTTCGTGAAATGAATTACCTGCTTTACATACCTCTTTGATACCATTGAAAAACAGGAGACTGTTTATTATTTATGTTTATAATATTATGAGGAATTTCTCTCTGTTAACATATGAACAATGCTGTTAATACTGCTATGGCATTCTCCAAATCAGTTTGCTGTAGCTTTCACATTTATTGAAATACAACATTGTTCCAGCCCATTTTGCATATTAGTAAATGTTTTAGTAAAATTCTAGATAAAAGTTTATTAATTTCTTTCTAATAAATATTTTTGTTATAACAAATTATTTTGATATGCATTTTCCTGATAAATATATTATTCTTCATATGTTTATTAAAAATGTGTATATTAAGAAAAAAAAAGGCTAAGATTGTGTGCATTCTAATCTGTAATTTCTCTTAATACATGACTTTAAAAAACCTGATTTCCAACTTTTAGGAAGTATGAAAAGTATACTGTGTTTGAATTCTGATCACTATCGGTCTTAAAAAAATTAAATTAAATTGACTTTATTGAAATATGAATTGAATGACTATCCTATCCATATTCTTAATGGAGTATCAGGATATTGGAGCAATATTCCATTTGATTATTATACATTGATTGCTGGTTTTGCGGTATATTCATATCAAGCTAGAATCTAATTCTTATAAGGGTTGTTTTTACAATCTAAAAGTGGACATCATCCAAGACAGGTTTTGTGTTGTGCAAAAGCATTAAAAAAATCCTATCCAAATTTTGACGAAGGAATTCTATATTATTATACAGAGTTCAAGAACTTTGCAGAAATTATTGGCTACATGGAATTTTGATGAGGAGATCATTTCTCTTTGTAATAGAAGAAAACAACAGCTTTGAAGTCAGAAGAACACTTTTGGGTTAAAAAAAAGGCATCTAATTTTCTAAAATGGATTATAAAATTGTTCTACTCAAGTGTAACAAACAATCTTCTTCCGACACTCCCATTTTGGGGCTGTAAACATAGATAGATACTTTATGTCTTTGTTTGTTATATTTATGTTCTATTCAGCTTTAAATCCTGGCTCAAATTTGTCTTGCTGAATCACAGTTAAGATGGGTTATTGATCTATCCTGGGGTGGGATTCAGCTGGTACGGACCAGTTCAGGTGAACCGGTAGTTCCGGCGATCATTTGGCCCTGCCCCTTCGCCCCGCCCTAGTCTATCCTTTATTTCTTTGTTTTGAAGCCCAGCTGATTTGCACGGCACAGCTGTTTTACTTACCGGGGCTGCAGCAGAAAGTAAGTTTTAGGGCTGAAAATGGCTGTTTTTAAAATGTGCATGCGCGCAAAGGGCGCACTCACTGAACCAGTTGTTACACCAGTTGAATCCCACCACTGGATCTATCCCTTGATATCAGTTAAAGAAAAAGAAAAGAAAAGGGCCCCAAAGAGGAAAATAACTATAGGAATTGTATAATTTTGTTGCCTATGATTGAACAAATGATCACAGTGAAGAGATTGCTAACAACGTAGCTCCATCCGCTCCATTTGTCATTCATGTGTGGATCAAAGGGAGACTACACTACAAGTAAAATAAACTTTGAAACATGAATTATAAAAATATAAGCTACTTGATTCTGAGTTCTGAAGAAACCTCTCTTTCACTAGGGAGAAGTGTCTCCTTCCGCTGCAACTTGCTTTGGAGAGTAAGAATATGAAACTGGCACAGCAAGCTCTAGCAGGGATGCAGGTAGGTAGCTAACGTTTGACCAGATTTGGAGTTATTGAATGAAATAAGCGGTTGACAGGAAAAGTGAATGATATGAAAGCTTGATTATACACTTTAAAAGCATGCAGGTTCATAAAATGATATGGAAGATAAGCAGGACTATGCATTAGGATTAATCCTGGGCAAAACCTTTATAGGTGGTAAAGGTAAAGGTCTCCTGTGCAGTCATGTCTGACTCTAGGAAGTGATGCTCATCTCTATTTCCTAGCCAAGGGAGCCAACATTGTTCAAAAGCAATTTTGTGGTCATGTGGCCAGCATGGCTATATGCCAAAGATGCATATAATGCTGCTACTTTCCTACCAATGTGGTACCTGTTTATCTACTCGCATTTGCATGCTTTCAAACTGCTAGGTGGGCAAGTAACAGAAGCTCTCACCATCGCGCAATGCTAAGGTCTCAAACCGGGGATGCTGACTTTCGAAGCAACAAGGCCAGTGTCTTAATCGCTGAGCTGTCACATCCCTGGTTGTAATGTAGCCTTCCTCAGATTTGATGCTCTCAAAATATATCTGCTTAAAGCATTCTCAGCCAGCTCTCTTGGGAATTGTACACTGACACACTTCCAGTTGGGGGACAATGCTGCAGTGAATATTTATGGACTAAGAAGAAGCCTTTCATGTCACTAAATGAAAGGTGGACTTTGTGAAGCCTACACAAAAGGACATCTCTGGCAAGTGCTATAGTCCTCACATACTTCTCTAATGAATCCTTTAAACAAAAGTCTTTGGTACCCCAAGATATGGTTACAGATATTCCATTTGGGACAAGTGTTGCTATGGTGCTTTTAAGATGAAAAAAAAACACACATCTGAATGCATGAGAGAGGAGAAACTTAATTCATCTTTTTTGAGAAAAGTCCTGAATGCTACTCCAATAGTATTGAATGAGTGCATTGCTCTGCATTTCAAGGGCAAAATTAAATGCTGCACTTGCTAGTTTTCTATCAGTTGGTTAGCAAATTAACTTATCCTTAATTCTTGTGGTCAAGGTTGAATCTTCTAGGTTGGATGATTGTGAAAATGTGTCCACATCCCCGAGCTAGAACTCATCTTCTGATTTTATTTGCCTTATCTGAAACATAAAGGCTTTTCCTCTTCAAACTGCAATAGGAATTGTGAGGCTCATTGCATCTTGTGATAGGCATTGCATGCGTTAAATAGATATTACTATTCCACCAAAACTTGCCCTGTTATATTGTTTGGAAAAGCAAGGTAATTTGCTAGTAAACATTATTTTTATAACAACATTATGGGAGAATCAAATGGAGAACCTCTGAAATTAAATAGTTCCATTTTTCTTTGCAGAAGCTACTGTCTGATGAACGATTTGTATCCATGGAAACTGACTCTGATGACAAGCAGTTGCTTAATCAAATGCTGAACGCAGTCAGAGTGACTCCATCTCTCAATGAGGACCTTCAGGTAGAAGTGATGAAGGTTAGTGTTTTACAGACGTCAATACCTGCTTGTTTGCAGGACAGGCTTCCTATCTGACTCAACTCTGCAGTTCTGGGGTCAGTTTTGTCCCTTGATTGAATTACTTTATGCCACAGTATAAAGCTAGCTCTTATGCTTGTGACACAGTTGGATTATTCTTTACTATTGTAAGCCTGGATCTGCAGGACATCATCTGCATTATTTTTTATTCATGTAAAAGGTCATTTTCCTTTAGTTGAAAGTCTGTAGGCTGGTACAGCTACAAGACAGATGTATGCATGTTGATGACCGAACTGACAAAGCTAAGTGCCTTTTGCAAACAGAATAATTATATACACCATTATCTATATTCAAACCAATCTTGGCTTACTAACCACAACTAGTGTCTTCTGGCTAGGTGAGGGTGCAATAGATAAGTCAAATCCAAGCCAAATCATAGCCAGATGATTACCTTTATTGGGACTATTATAACACAAACATTGTGAAGGCATTGAAGGTTTTGGAACTCTTTTCATTTTTGTTATTTAAAAATGGGAAACAAGGAGAAAAATTTTAAAACCAGGCTAAACATTGAAAACCATGAAATGTATAATTTCAGATGAATCCTGAAGTTAAGGCAGTGGATCCAACAGAGTCATTTTAGGTACTGTTGTTTTCCAGACTGCACTCAGATATGAGGGAGACACAAAGTGGTCTTCCCTCCAAGCTCAGGAGCCATAAATTATGCTGAAGTCCTATTCTGTTGCTTACCAATGGCAGAGACAATCAGAATCATCACTGTCCTTAATAAATAAGGGTAGAGAATACTTTTAGTTGTTTGCTAGGCTAAAGTAATTTCGCCTAGTTGTATAGTTGGCTATACTGTATTATCTCCCTTAAAAAAGAGAAAAAGCAAAAAAAAAAGGGCTCTTCAATGGTCCTTCACTTTTGTGGAAGAAATGTTTAGTTCCAAATATCTGAATTCAAAGTTCTGAATCTACATGTGCGAATTGTAAATACGTTGAATATTGAATGCACTCTGCTACTCCTAGACATACAGTTTCATTACTGTGAATTAAATTAGTGGTAGTGCTGACCTGGCAAGCAGCCATATGCATTGGAAATGAGAAAAATATCAATACAACCTTGTTCTGCTAACTGTTACCATGGCAGTTCCTTTCTGGAAGACTGCATGTCTGGGGAAAAATAAAATTATGATAGTGTATTTCGGTTCAGTAAGATGCATATGTCATTCTAACCTATCAAGACTATATAAGTTTTGAAAAACAGGGTAAATTTGTGCTCTCATATCTTCCAAAGCTCTTCTCTGGGATCATGTTTGAAGCATGTGCATATGTTGCCTTTCACACATGCAGTAATTTTTACATTGGTACATCACAATTATGTTCAGAAAAGGTCCATTTCACATTATTTTAAGTGTTTGAATTCAGTGCAAAACATAGTACAGCGAGCTGTCTTGATATTCAGCTTCCACAAAGAAACCCATTTTTTCATAGTTTAACTTTGATTTTAAAGTTTAATGAGAGGATGGTTGAAAGGGATTGAATTGAAATAGCTTTTTTAAGGTAGAATAATTGAAAAGGTTGCCATTCCTTTCTATCAATTCAGAAGCCACCAGTGTGGTCGCTATTCTGGAGTGTTATGTTGGATTGGAGAAGGAGTACAGAGCCTTGGAGCAGAGTTAGAAAATGGATCAGTCTGGAATCCTTACTTAGCCACAATTAAGTCCAAACCACCCCACCCAAATTTCATTGGCCCTTGTCTAATTCCAAGCAGGTTCTAAACATTAGTTGAGAAGATTCTAGTGCATAGGCTTCTAGCATTAAATCAATTTAATTGGACCTTCACATGAGGACCTGGTTTTTCACACCTGACTAGGACTTTAGAATACTCCAAAGACAAAAACGTTCTTTTCTGCTTTTTTCAAAGTCAGTGTTTTCAAATGAAAATTTATTGAATTTTGTTTAAATTCTCAAATCCTTCTTATTTCTAATATTTTTAAATTTAAAAAAGTAAGAATATCCAGGAAACTTCACAAATAGAAAGCTTAAATCTAATATTCCTTGTCTACTATGCAATTAACAATTAAGCTTTAGCTTTTCAAAACTATGGAACATCTGAGAATATAATTATAAATGTTCAAGCTGTCCTTGATTATTACTGAGGAATGTTATCATTAACGAATGCCTATTCCTGCGGAGAATTCCAAGGCACTTCAGCCGTTCTCTGTATAGGCCAGATCTGATTAGTTCTATGAATGCCATGCTTCTTCAAAAGCGTAAACCTGAAAAACCAAATAACATCTAGTTACTGGAAGTGGAACCTTTGTGGGACTGGAAATCTTCTAGGTGTGATCCATGAAGTGAAAGAGAAAGCAGTGAAGTTAGGGCTAAGATAGTGATGTACGCATAACCCAGCATGGAAGAAATGAGGAAGGTCTATGGGCAACCTTTCAGGAATTTGGGAAAGCAGGTCAATAAATGCAGGTCATGTTATTTTGAAAAGAAGGTCCAGAAGAAAAGTATGTTTCTGGGCAATCAATCCTGACTGAAAAAACAATGAGTGATTAAGGCAGGGGTGTCAAACACACGTCATCACGGTGGTGTTACGTGATGTATCCGGACTTTTTTCCCCTTCGCTAAACTGGGTGTGGGTGTGGCCAGCACCTGATGCATCCAGCCTGCAGGCTGGGACTTTGACAGCCCTGGATGAAGGCATTGTTTTTACATTCCGGAAATTAGGTTTTTAGGCTCCTGTGTTGGGATTAATCTGAAACAGAATGTGAATTTTGGAGCTAAGGTGTCAATTCTGTTATATACTTGCTCCTTTAGTTTTTATTTGACATTGGTGTTTTTTGACTGTGTCCATCACAGCAGACATTTTATGATTCAAAGTGTCATTTCCTCTTGAAGTATTCATTGGGTAATGGTGTCCTTAATAACTTCTCAAAAATCTAGATGTGTCACCAAGTCAAAAAGATTGATTTGAAAGCTCTGCTTAGGATTTGCTATAATCAGTTAGCTAGATTTACAATTTCTTTTTGAAATCTATTCATTTTATGTTAATATCAGCTTTGGGCTGTGAGATGTCTGTGAGATGTCTGCAAAAATTGCTTAGTAGACATAAACTTTCCAGCTCATTTTATCAACTTAGCAGTAAAACTGCTAAATTGTGAACATGGAAGTGTTCTTCCAGGAGGCAAAAAAATTGGCAACTTTCTGATAGAGAAGAGACTTGATTGGGTTATCGGGTATCTTTTTTCCTTGGTTTGGCTTGTTCCAGCTTTCCTCATTATCCTCAAATGTAAAAGTGCTGAGAAAGCAGCTGCATGCAAAGAAAGATGAAAATAACTAATTAATCCCCGCTCAACTATTTCCCTGAACCAATGACAGGAGTGACCTTTTCTAGTATTTATGAGCTATTACTTCTTTCATGTTAATTAAAGTGATAAAGAATCTCTGGACTGAGATGATGACTATATACACTGATAAACTGTTCTTTGTTTTTTACCCTGACTCTGGAATAATTAATCTTCATAAATTTAGTAGGTCTCGTGTGTCATGCAGACATGGAATAAAGATTCCATTACAAAATGAATAAACAGTTACCTAGACAGGAGTAGGATAAAATAAGAATGGTTTATATCTGCATTTTCATGGACAAAATCTATCTATGTGATCGCCAGGAGTTGAAAATGACTTGATGGCACATCAATCAATCAATACCTGCATTTATTTGATGGGTGTGTTAGTTGCTTGTCCCTTCCAAGAAACATTAATCTTTCCTTAACCGAATGGAAGTAGAGATGCACTGTTATTGATTTTCTGTGTTGAGTAGGATTCTCATGTTATTTATTGGACTGGAATTGTCCAGTCACTTTTCATACTCACTGAAATTTAATTACATTACAATGGAACAGATTCTGTTGAATTTTCTTCCATGTAAATCTCTTCATAGATTCAACTTTGCTGTGACAAAAACATTCTGATCTTATCTTTGCCTGTTTAGATATAAATAATACTGGTGTGTTCAGTAAGATTTCCCTCTCCCTTCTAACCCCCCCCCCCATTCAAAATGCGATATTCCAAATATAATAGCATGTTAATATATCAAGTACTTAACTGCAGTGAATTCTGGTAAAAAATATCCTTGAAAACAATAGTATATCATCTATTATATGTGTATCAGATTGTGATGGGAGATAAAGTAAATGCTCTATTAAGCCACATTTAAGCTCATAATATTTGTTATTTTCTTTGTATAGCTACAAATTGGTGAGGTTTAAGATACTTCAGGGTAGTTAAGACTGGCTTTGCAGTAGTGAAAGACATTTCTGTTTCGGCAAGGTGGACCATTCGGCGTTTGCAAATCTCCTCTGCTACTCATTACAGTGTTTGCTCTGGAAATGTCAAATGTCATTTATAATTACTTCCTTGTTCTGTCAGACTGGCAAAACAGGAGCTAAAGTATTTTTAGTCACTCTAAATCGCTGTTATAAATTATTTGGCATTTCCCAAGTCCCTGTTTAAAAGTGCTTCTTGAAACACCACAATTTTGAATCTAGTGACTTAAAGGGGGTGTATTTGGGCATTTGAAGTACATGAAATATTGCATTCAGAGAACATGTATAAATGTCACTCTGAGGCAGTTTCCCATTGCAGAACCAAACTAGCTTTATACTGAGCAATCAATTTGATCAATCCAGACCAGGGATAGCAAGTCTGCTAACAACAATAGTGCCATTCATGGAAGAAAAGCAGCTCTGGTTGGCCTGTGTTGAGTAGCATTTACCAGGTGGGTTTTGTCTCAGCCACAGGCATTTCATATCTACAAATGACAATAAAGTCAACATGCTACATTTTTCTTCTCTTCCCCCAACTTTTAAAATATTGCATAATCCTAACATTGAATAAGAAATTTTATACCCAGAGCCAGGGATAACAATAGCAATAGTATTTGGACGTGTATACTGCTTCACAGTACTTTTACAGCCCTCTCTAAGTGGTTTACAGAGTCAGCATATTGCCCCCAATAATCTGGGTCCTCATTTTTACCTATCTCAGGAAGGGTGGAAGGCTGAATTAACCTTGAGCCTGGTGAGATTCAATCTGCCAAGTTACATGCCGCTGCCAGAAGTGGCCTGCAGTACTGCATTCTAACCACTGCGCCACCGCAGGATGAATATTATCTTCTTTCTGCTGTTCCTAAGCAGACATTTTTCTTGCTTTTCTTGATATCTGTCTTAGCCCAGTGGATTAATGTATTCCTTCTTTAGGGAACATCCAATAGATCACATGCTTTACAGTTATTCCATGCCTGTATAAGAAGTTTGTCTAAATGTTTAAACATCCATCACTCTGAGTAATTGTTTCTAATCAGTGGAAAAACTATTTCACAGCTCCAGTGCACAATAGAAAGCTCTTGTGTTCATCCTCTTCATAATTAAACATATCATGCTGTGTACACTGAAGGAGTATTTAACTCTTACGTATTTACGTATGTATATATATTTCCCAGTTTATTTTGCTTTTTTTTAGTGGGTGGCACAGATGTGCTTCAGTCAGAGGACTGAATTTAATTTTAACAATTCTATTGTTAAATCATATTGCCTTTTTTAAGACCTTGGTCAATGCTTATTATCTGTAAAGAGATCAGTTTAGAGATCCTTGAGAATACCATATGTAATTATGTCAGAAAATTAAAATTACTCTCCATTCCATCCAGAATATCCATCCAGCCAATGAAAGTGGTTTGTTGCATTCAGTGTACGTAGGATTACAAATAGTATTTGTAAACAGTGGGAGAGGCCTCTAAATAATGTGGAATAGTCCATCCCATAAATGCAAGTCTGAGCAAAATCGGAATTCTGGGAGACTACAGTTACAATATCAACTGTAAACAGAACTAGGGAAGGAGGGAGGGAGGGAGAGAGGGATGGAGAGAAACCCAACAGTTCTTACCCATTCTTGGTATATATTTTTATATCTGTTGGTTATGAAATAGGGCAAAGAGATGCTGCCTAGGAAATGGTCAGATAAGAAGAAACACAGCTGCACAATGGGCAGAGAAAGAAGTTCAGAAGGGACCCTCCCTAACTTCTCAAGCTGTAAAGGACACAATGGAAGATATGTATTTTCAGATTTGCAAGGTTCTGTTAATGTAACCACACAACAAAGTATCTCATCTGGCCGTGTTTCCTGTCTGGTTTATCCGAGAAGGCTAACCAACATCACTCTGGCAGGTGTGCAGGAACAAATCTCCCCTTGTCTCCTTTACTGTCCGAGAAGTTAGAGAGGATCTCTTCTGAGCCTATTATGCAGCTGTGGGCTATGTCCCATCTTATCTGACCATTTTCTATGCAGTATCCCTTTGCTCCCTTTATCAGGGTCTTTCTCATATACCATTATTACATCAAATTATTGCAACAGTATTTTATCCATGTTCCACTGAATGTGAATTGTGGTAGCTTCCTGGCACTAGAAAAATATTTATTCTGAGTAGATGAGTAGCTAGATAATATGAGGCCTGTTACTTTGTAATTAACTATTTCATTTAACAGTGCTGAATTCATATCAGCTACTCGCCACTGCAGCAGATAATCAGTAAATAGGAGGAAAAGAATTAGGAATTTGGTGCAATGAATTTTGCAAAGAGTATTCAAACTTCATATACAGATGGTATGCTTTTGAGCAATATGTTCTCCTATAACAGGTTTTCATGTGGTAGAGATTTCTTAAAATTGTAGTTGGGCCAATGTTAGGCTATTAATCTCCTCTCCCTCCAAAGTTTCTAAAAATAACTGTGATTCCAGATTGAATAAATTGAAAGATTGGCAGCTTTGCAAATACAGAATACTTTATTCCAGGACAGCTATTTGAAAATAACAAGAATACAAATCCTACTCTTTTAATCTGAGGACTTTAACTATTTCTTGAGAGACTGCAACTTACTTTCTGAACTGAAATGTGTTGCTATTTTACAAAACTGGTTTTTTAACATTCTGCAATTATTTTGAAAATGAAAGATTCAAATTATATTAAATGCTGATTGCCAGCATACAAGTGCTTGAAAATACTGCCAAATTGAGTTGTAGGAATATAGTTTTCTATTTAATAAAATCAGAATTTTTTTTATCTTATTGATTTTGAGAACCCATCAGGGTAATATTCATTTTCTTGGAAGTCAAAAACAATATTTTTCTCTTATGTCAGAAAGCTCTCCAGCTGTGATTAAAACGTACAATGTTATCAAGGCCACTCAGTACTGGAGGGAACTTTCTTCTGGGCATGTGCAAGACAAGAATCTAACATTGTTTAATTAAAACAAAACAGGGTTTAACTGACCACATTTTAAGGAAAGTTACTTCCAGTAACTTCCATTCTCTTTCCAGTGTGTAAGCATGTGTTTTATTCTCCATGAAGCCCAATATTACAATGACCTTATATGGATATCTTGTCATTTCAAATAATCAGATTTAAATTGTGCAGTGTAGGATTTTATGTTGATAATGGATAATGGAAAACAGTCTCTTTTAAGGAGATGAAGAGGTAGCTTCACTTTGAGTTTTAGGACCTATCTCAAAATCTTTCTGTTTACTCAAGGACATAAATTCTCATTTATTCAGGATGGATAAAAGAAATATTTACCTTCTTCAGATTTTGTCATTTACTGCCTAATATTAGGATCATGTTTTCACTGTTTTACTGAATCTTAGTTTAGTTGTTGTTTTAAGCACAAAGATGACCAGTGTGTTTTATTTATGTCTTTGCTTGTTAGATTCATTCCCCACCTTCCTTCCAGGAATCATCGGTACATAGCATTCTCCTTCAGCTTTTTATAGAATAGCCTTTGGGGTAAGTTAGAGAGATTGACGGCAGCTTCCCCAAAGTCACTAACTGACCTTCCAGGAATAATAGGACAATTTAAACCATCATGCCATCATACACCTTTACATTGTGCAGAAATTAACTCCATCCCTGTTAACTTTCTGTAAGTCCCTCAAAACATGGTTATATCAAGAGGCCTGGGGGGCCCAGGGGAAGAATGTCACTGAAGTGGTCCATTGTTGCTAATATTCGTTGCTCTTTCCTTGCCTTTTAGTCATAATGTTAATATTTTTAATTGATGTCTGTTTTTACATGACCGTGTTACAGGTTTTTTTTATTGTATACTACGCAGAATCACCATTTGTGAGATGGTAACCATATAATATGATGAATGAATGAATAACAATTAATTATATGTTCTCTTGGATTGTGTCCTGGGACTTGAGGATTTCACTACCGATTCTTGCAGTGACACTTAGGTTTCTAACCGGGGCAATTATAAATTACTCTGAAACATAAACAATATATAACCATTTTTGTATAAAGATTTTGATTTAGCACATTTTTTTTACATTCTTTATGAAATGCCAAATGCACAGCTAACTGACACTTGCTACATCAATTAAAAATTGACAATATCATCCAAAGTATTTAATATTCAGACATTGTTAGACTTTGCATTCAGAAAAGTGGTAGTAAATACCATAAATCGTGCCAATGGATGTCATTGAAATTCATTCCTTTGTTATGGTGGAGAGGATTTTTTTCTATTACATTGGTCTCCTTCCAAGAGCAAGCTTGAATAGGATCTACATTTTCACTTGCTACATGCAGAGGCATTCTTAATTTTCTCAGTTTTCTACACTGCAGTCATTCAGTATCCTTGCAAAACAAGGCATTTGTCATATTTGTCCTTTATAGCTGATTTCATCGATTTATAGTGTTACAAAACTGTTTTCGCCCTGTAAATTTAATTCATAGCGTGGTAGATATACTATTTTAGAAGATATTCCTGGTTGCCACTGTAGATCTTTCCCCATTAGAGGTTGGATCAGGATGGTCCTAAAATATTCATAATTTTATCCTTGGCACTATAAACTTTTTCATGCTGATAGTTTCTACACAGCAGTTTGCATAATTGCTAGCCAGTATATAAAAGTCTTATAAAAGACTGGTACAGTTAATGTCAAGATCCTTGAACTACTCAGAGATCTTTTAATGATGGGTTGCCTTTGTTTGGATTGTATTATTTTTATTATGTATTATTATTGTATTGCGTTGTGTTATGTTGGACTGCACTAGACTGTGGGGTTCTATTCTGGCTTTTAACATTATGGTCCTCTATGTGTTGTATGATTTTGCAATCAGATAATAGACAAATATGCTGTAGACTTGCTTCCAGATTGATGCTATCACTTTTGACCATTAACATGATTTTAATTGAGGGAATCATCAATCTAAAATTCTTTTGTGCTGTATTTGTTTAACTCTAGGTGTTGCTCTGCATAACATACACTCCAACGTTTGAGTTGAATGGAAGTTCTGTTCTTAAGATTGCTGAAGTGAGTATCCTCTGTCAGTTGGAAATGAAACTTGAGCTGTTTAATAAAACAATGTGCTTTGCGCTAGATTATGGGGTTTTTTTCATTCACAATGTTAAACTTATGTCAGTCATGTATCTCTAATGCACATAATTGCTTTGGGAGAAGTTATTATTCCCTCCTCACTCTCTTGAACTCTTCTAAGCAAGCAGCTTCTATCAAAGTTTTTTTTAAAAAAATACCTAGATACCAAAATGTGACTGCTATTAGTTTTCTATTTTATATATATTATTAAGAAATGCGACTTTAATACTCAGCTGTATAATAAGATAAAATAAAGAGAGAGAGGGATGCTTATATATATTGATAGATATCTGGAATAGTGATTCACATCTAATATAGGTAGTCCTTGACTTATAATATTTCGCTGAATGACCATTCGACGTGACCACGGCACTGAAAAAAGTGACTTATGATCTTTGTGGCATGGTCATGTGATTTACATTTGGATGCTTGATAGCTGACTCACATTTATGATGGTTGCAGTATCCCGGAGTCGTGTGATCAGCTTTTGCAACCCTCTGACAAGCCAAGTCAATGGGGAAGCCAGCTTCACTTAACAACTGACTTAAACATTGCAGTGATTCACTTAACAACTGTGGCAAGAAAGATAATAAAATAGGGCAAAGCTCACTTAACAAATGTCTCACTTAGCAACAGAAATTTTGGGCTCAATTGTGGTTATACGTTGAGGACCTCCTGTACATTAACTTCTAACCAGTATAATTGTATTGCTATTATTGTATTGTCTCTTTTCCTTTTTCCCAAAATAGGTTTGTATTGAAACTTACATTTCCAGTTATCACCAACGGAGTATTAATACAGCTGTACGGGCAACCCTCAGCCAGATGTTGAGTGATTTGATTTTACAATTACGACAAAAACAAGAAAATACAGTGAGTCACTCAGGCATCTGTAATGGGGCTGGTCTTTGCTGCTTATGCTTAAATTAGAGTTGGTATAATGCTCCCAAAACTGAATTTATAAATAGGTTTTTAAAAATATTAAAGCCTATCCCAAAAAAAGTCAAGGTAATTTTTTACTGGCTCTGACATTTTCCTCTGGATCAGGTTTTATCTGAGCTAGACAAATATGGACTTTTTTCTGCTTCAGGAGCAAATTTCTACAAAGTGTAAAGTAAGAGATTTTGTCTCAAGTATCATTGCCACTTTTATTTTGTCTGTGTTATTGATAATACATCTATTCTTCTTTGATAGATGACCGAAAGCCAAGGAGTTCTTCAGGGTTTCAAGAATTCAGGTATCAGTTAATTAATTTTGACAAAATGATTTATTGATTACTTTCATATTTATGCAAAATTATGGTGATGTTTCCTTTTTCACAAAAAAGACTGGAGGTAGTCAACTTAATACAGGGAGTCCTTGCTTAATAACCTCAATCAGGACTGGAATCTCAGTCATTGAGCAAAGTAGTTGTTAAGCAAAACGTCAGGTGACTGTTCATGTGACTATTTAAATGATCACAATCCCAACACACTCGATTGTCATCATTAAATGGATGGTGTCCCAGGTAAGGAGTACAGGGTTCCTCTGGGAGGATGAGGGAGACCCTGGGAGGTTCCACTCAAGAGCTAAAAACCTTCCCTGTTGAAATCCAAGGAGAATTTTCTGCCTCTGAGGGAGAGACACCTGTATCAGGCCCCCCCTACTTACCTGAAGCACTCAGTGCTCTTATTGCTCTGCCTCTCTTCTCAGGACCTGAAAATCCTGCTTGGAATTCAGCTCCATTTCATCTCCAGGGACTGATATTCTTTGGTAGGATGAAAGAGCTGCCTGTCAAAGGATATCAGTTCTCCTTGATACACAGAACTCTTTTGGCAGGATACAGAAATACGAGTTTTAATCATCAAGATTTAAGCTCCATTTCAGCTCCCTGTGGGAGGATGTCAGCTCCCCTCCATTGACAGAAAAGATTTGATGGGATGCAGGAATAGTGGTCAGATGTTCAGGATCGTGAAGTACTTGGCAACCGGTTGTAAGTATGAACAGGATGCCAAGCACCCAGATTGTGATCATTTGACTGTGGGTGGTTGGCACAAGGTTTGGTGTCAGGCAGAAGTGCTTTAGGAGCCACAAAACTCCCTTTCTGAAGCCATTGTAACTTTGAACAGTTGTTAAATGACCAGACTTAAGCTGAGGAGCTGTTTCAATTCCCATCAACTTCTCGGTCAGTGGCAAAGGAGTTTGAGGACAACATTTGAAAGGACGTGAACAAAGACATTCCCTGCCTCTGATATATACAGCTTGCACGGCCCGGTTCTGAAAGAGCTGCACCCTGGAAGTGGGCTGCAGCCCCTGGAGTTGGGGACCCTGCTCCAATATTTAGTTTGCATGTATTCCTATTTTACATCAGTTGTTTTAAACTAGTATGCATGTGGCTTAGACTACCATTTTCATTGGTCAGGGGAGATGGGAAGCTGATTGGGAATCATGAGTCAGATTCTAGCATAATTATAGCATACAAGGCTGCAGTGAATATGAATAGCTTCTAGTAGTTTCATGTAGCTAATGACTGAACAATGGTAGAAATTACTTCACGCATACCAAGAAAATTTCAGCTCTTGCTTTTATCTTTTTTTCAAAGGTTTGGCATAGGTCAAATGTGTGTTGACATCTGAAATCCCAATAGATTTGTTATGAGTCAGCTCATAATTGCTTCCCATAGTCTCTATAACTGTACGATATGCTAACATGATCACTAGAAGTGATATGCTCTACAGAGAAATTTGCAGAATTCACCCTCAGTAGATTATGCATTCCAAATAGTCACTTATTTGATTTGTGAGCTGGTAAGATTCTTGACAGAATGGCTCTAGTTTTTCTTGCAATATCATATCCCAGTCATCCACATCCCTGTGTGATGCGTCCTGTCGCCAAGGTTGAAGATATTCCATGTGCCTAATTTTGGTGTAGTATATATCTGAAGCTGCTAATGCATGCCTTTTATTTACTTTGGAGATTCGACCGCTGAGTCATTCTGTGATGATGTTGTCTCTGTCTTCATGGTCCTTTGTGAAAAACTTCAGACAGCCATCAGGTAAGCAAGTGTTTCTAAATATAAATGGAGTTAGGGAGAAAAATCTACTCCTTTTCTTGGTTGGGTTTCCTCTCTGACCTATTGAATCAAGTTTAAATTTGTACTAGCTGGTGATTAATTTGACAAGCATAACATTACCCTGACGATATTCAGAGCCATACACACTTTCTGTATCCAGCATACTCTCTGTACCTAAACACCTACATTCCATCAGCAGTAAAACTATGAAAAACAAGTTTTATATAATTTTGAAAATGTGGGCCTAATGCAGAACATATTACAAAAAAACAAATGCTGCACTTTTTCAGTGGCAGATATTTGCTCTGGCAAGTGCAGTCTTCCAGGCCGATTCTTACAGTATTAGTTTTGGTTTTGTTACTCTACTTCCTGTTTGAGATGTTAATTTCTATTGTATTTTGAATATTTAAAAAGATAGCCCTCATTTTTGCATTGTTACCATAAAGAATGCTCTCTATAAGCACTTAGTAGTAAACAAGTTTCCTTGTGTGGTAGAACACATTTTGGCAAATTAGTTCTTGGTGTGCTACATTGTAGTACATGAGTTTCATTGTAGAAAATTAATTGAATATTGGATTGGACAACTACAGATTATGTAGTTGGAGGAACAGACAATTATTGTTCCCAGTAATTATTATTATAATTTATGTAATAGTATATAAATTTCTATAAGTTTAGGAACTGTAATTACTTGTGCACCTAAATAACTATAATTATTTGCAAGTGATATCTAATTACTCTTTAATTGCATGCAATTTGTTAGAGAAATGTATTGCATTGATGGGTATGTTTTTAATTATTTCAACAGTGCTTCTGGAAAGAAAAGCTTTTCCCCCTCGCACGTAGCACATCTGCGTTTGCACCCAAAATCCCCTCGTGCGCAGCGCGTCCCTGCACATGAGCACATGTCTCCCACGCAACCCCTCCTCCCCTTGCGCATGCGCATCAGATACCTGACAATCAGCTGTCAGGCAGCAGCGCACATGCATGCACAATGGGGCTCTTCCAGGCAACCTCTTGCGTGCCGGGGGAAATGGCTCTGCATGCCACTTCCAGCACGCATGGCATAGGTCCGCTAACATGGCTCTGGAATCATTCAACAACCAGCATGTGTAGCAGAATTTGAGAAAAAGATATTATCCGCTAGTAAACATAGAAAAAAAAATTAAAATCCTAGTGAACAGTAAGGAAAGAAAAAGCATTGCAATTTTAAGTGGGACTCCAAAGCATAATCAGAAATGAAACATTTTTATTTTTCCTTTTCTATGGGTACCAACAAAAAACACGGAAGGGAATTGGGGAGAGGGTATGTTAGTGTTTGGGGACAAACCCCCAAACAGAATGTGCAGCAGCAGTCAAGCCAGGCAGCCAAATGAGAGAGGAAGGGCCCTAGAGTTTACACACACTGATGACAAAAACACTGTTTGTAGTTTAAATAGTTGTTTAATCCAATTAGAGTTTAAACATTGTCAATCAGTCCATATGTCATTCACAAATATATCCATTCAGTAACTTAGTCCATTTACTAGTCAGTTCTATATCCTTATCTTCTTGTAAAGATATCTTTTCCTCTGATACCTTTCCTTTTGAAGACAACGCTGAGTATTCACAGGATATCAGCACATCAATGAAATAGTCCTTTCGTTCAGGTATTCAAAACAGTTGTAGCAAACAGTAGCAAACAAAACAGTAGCAAGCAGATAACAAGCAGAGAGAGGTTACGTTTCTCTTACTGCCTTTTATTGCCGTTTGTAACCGCACCCTTAATTAGTTAATTACAAGCAGTTTTGTGCTTAAAGCTACAGGTTACAAACTCCCAAACCTTGGTTTATATATTTATTCACCCAAACTTAGTTGGTGTATCAATGTTATACCCAACAGGGTATTTCTCTCTTTCTTTTCTCCCCACTTGAGAATGAGCAATCTTGAGTAGGAAGCAATGTCCGTGCCCCATATCTTAAACAGAAAGCCTGAATCTAGCTAGCTCTGCTTTCCTTCAGGCCTGTATATGTAGAATAATTCATTATGCTCTTCTCCTGTAGTGCTTCATTTCTTCTAATTGCCCATCTCTTAGGAAATCTCTCTCTGTGTCTGTCTCCTTAAATACAGTATAATTATTTTACATTACTGATAGTATATCATTGGGATAGTATACTTCGGCAGGGTGTTTGAAGAAGACAACCATACATTTATCTGCTTCCTAAGTAGCTAGATCAGAAACAAGCATGGAGAAATGTATCCTAAAATATTAACAACCCTTTAGGCATGCATTATTATGCCTCCATATCTAAACAAGGTATTTGCAAGTTTGCAGTTTAGAATTTTTAAATTAATCTTCAAAACATAATGTGTTTGTGCTCGGAGACATATGGATGAAGCGAGGCATCAAGCGAAGAGAGATTTCCATTTCTCCAACAATAGCATCATCTTTTAAAAAAAAACGAGGTAGGGAAATTCACCAAAGGCAGTAAGGTAGAGGGTTGTTTCATTATTTTCTACTTGGTATAGTATCTAACTATATCGTTATTATTTCTGTTTTCTCTTGCTGGGTTATTTGTGAGCACAGTGAAATTGTGGAGCAGAAGAAAAATTAGAGAAGATTAATATGCTTCATAATTTGGTACTTGCGTATAGACCCTTAGTAACTTAGATCAAAATACTTAAATTATTATCTCCTGGAGTACTAAGTTGCCTGGATGGTGAAGGCCCTGCTTGTGATCACATGGGGCAATGATATAAAACTGAAACTTTCCAGTCACAGTATTTCATATAAAATGGGAACTCTAAGTAGTCTCCCATTGCTGCCTTTTAATGATGAATAAAATGTTCTTTGCAACTGGAACCTTTTCATTTTACTTGTATGTGTATACCACGGTGGTGCAGTGGTTAGAATACAATACTGCAGTCTACTTCTGCTGGCTGCCAGCTGCCAGCAATTTGGCAGTTCAGTTCTCACCAGCTCAAGGTTGACTCAGCCTTCCATCCTTCCAAGGTCTGTAAAATGACGACCGAGATTGTTGGGGGCAGTATACTGACTCTGTAAACAGCTTAGAGAGTGCTGAAAAGCTGTGAAGTGGTATAAAAGTCTAAATGCTATCGCTATACATATTTTTATTTGGACAGATATATGGAGGGTGCATATTGATAATAATAATAGGAACCTGACAAAAATATCACAGCCCTTAAAGCAGTCATGCATAAAAGCAGTCTTCGGTACACAAAAATATTGAGCCAGACATATGACTCTAATAGTAAGATTACCCAACTTTCAGTAAATGGACAGGATATATGCAATAACGCAAATACCCTTCCAAAACTACAGTATAAGGTGATAATGTATAAACTAATTGCCTATGATCAGAACATGATTCAGTTCACAGAAGTAACTTACAGCATCCTAGTCATATTTCTGCATACAGAAGCAGTCCTTGATTTATGATCACGATTGAGCCCAAAATTTCTGTTGCTAAGGGAGACATTTGTTAAGCGGACTTTTTTTTCATTTTATGAGCTTTCTTGCCACAGTGGTTAAATGAATCCCTGCAGTTGTTAAGTTCGGGCAACCTGTCCTACCCACTTATGGACGGAACATACTGCTTCCACTTTCACCTTTCAGCCCCAATCCAGGAGCCTTTGCAGGCAGTTGCTTTCGCAACAAACTATTTTGTGTTGAATTTATATTTACTGACAAAGAAATAAAGGGAGACCAGTATAGATCTGTTTCAAGCTATTTAGCTCTCATCAGCTAGCCATACCCTTCCCAGAATCCTAGAAGGGTATAGCTGATGAGAGCTAAATAGCTTGAAACAGATCTATACTGGTCTCCCTTTATTTCTTTGTCAGGAAACATAAATTTAACCGCACTAGGTATAGCTTTGACCCCCATAATGCTTTTTCTAGGCGTAGTTTTGACCTCCACAATTGCACACAGCTACTTTTTCTTGCCATGCCCTTGGGAGAGGACTTCCTTTTTCCTGGCTCCTGGGAAAGTATGCAGCGCTTGCTTCTTCATTATCTCTGTAGAAATGAACCTGCTATGCTTTGTGTGCTTCCGTTTTTTTCAGTGAGAATCGGCAGTTGCAGCTTCTCTACCTGGAATGCATTCTGTCCATGCTGAATAGCTTCTCTTCTACTATGCACCACCATAAAGGATTCACTGACCTCATCTGGTAAGTAGATGTGCCTTGAATGATGCTGAGAACAAAGTTTCCGCCTTATAGAAATCTTATTTGGCCTGTATATTTGAGCAGAAGTAATATCTGTTTACATTAAAAAGGGGGAGGGCAGGGAGAGAAATACTTAGGGAATTCAATCTACCCGAGTCTGAAATTGCTTCGTGACCAGCATTCTTACGGTCTTTTGTGCTGCACATCAGAAGCCACAAGAATACCTTCCAGAAACAATTTCTCTCCCCATTGAAACCGAAGCAAAGAAAGCTGGGATCTTACATTAAAGTTGGATTTCATGAATGAACTTGTGCCTTTCACAGTGGGGATGGGGGACTTAATAAAAAACCTCCTTCTCTTAACTAGGAGAGAGTTATTAGAGAGCTTGCAAATTAAATGGAGTGAACAATTGCATTGATATCTTCTTGTTTTTCCTCACTGAGTTCAAGAGGGCATATATGGGCATCTCAATTTACCCCTATAACTAGGGGTGGGCTACTGGGAGTTCTCAGAGGTTTGGGAGACCCTCTAGGTAAGATTGTGTGCAGTTCAGAGGTCCTCCAAATCCTACTTCTGGCTGCCCCCACCCTGCCTCCCAGGAGTCCCCACACAGCCCATTTTGGATGCAGGTAAGTGCGGGAGGTGCACTGAGGCTCGGGGAGGATGAAAAACAGACCTCCCAGAAGTTCGGGGAGGCCGGAAATGGGCCTGTTTCCAGTTTCCAGAGAGCCTCCGCAGCCCGGGGAGAGTTTTCGCCCTCCCAGAGACTCAAGGAAAGCCTCTGAAGCCCAGAGAGGGCAACAACCCCCCCCCCACACACACACACTGTGGTGCAGGAGGCGGACAAGGCCATACCCATCATGACACACCCATCCAGCAACTGGGCAGAGAACCCTTCGCTAAAATTTTTGAAGCCCACCCATACCCTGTGAGGTATGTTGAGTTAACAAAGAATAACTAGTCCATAACCCCCCAGTCAGTCTTTTGGTCAAGAAAAGAGTTGAACTGGGATCGGTCCTTCTCCAGTACTTCAGTGCTACAACCTGGGGCTTTATAGCTCTCTGGAGTAGGCAAGGACATCAGGCAAAGCTCATGTAGCACTTATCTGCGACTCTTTAATGCAGCTGTTTCTTACATGAGAATCATATGTCTGTCATCTGTGGCTGGTAGCTTTCTTTAATGCTCATATTCTGAAGAAAATGAATCCCACAAGGAGTTCAGAAAATTGATGAAAATTTGCATTAGAATATTGCTTTTAAAGAAGATGGGGTATCATCTGGACAAAGTAAATATTACTATGCCTACAAGAGAATGTCATTTCCATTTCCACGGAGCTGTAGAATGAGTTGGAAGCATCCAAGAAGAAATAGAGTAAACAGCAGAAAAGTTATTCGAGAAGATCTCAAAATAACTCATGGATTGAACAAGTTATTTGAATATAAGTAGATGAAAGGTAAATTTGTCGTTTTAGTTCCTGGCCTGATCTCCCTTTACGCACTGGAGTTTGGAAACTTCTGCTGGTCTGATCTCCCCTTGCTTGCTGGGTGGGAAGGCAGCTGGAGACTTGCAAGTTTCAGATAGTTTGATCTCCCTAGTTTGCTGGGTGGAAAGGAGGCTGAAGGACTATGGGAATTTTGAGGAGCAAGAAGCAGAGCTCAAGGAGTAGGAGTAGCCTTGGGAGACTGGGCAGGTGATCCTGGACCTGTGTAGGCCTCCAAAGGCCTCCCCTATCTCTGAGGCACCAGGTACTCCATTTAATAAACATTTGCATTCACTTAATGTTTGCATCAAGAGGTAGGGTCATTAAGGGAGGCCATTTTGTTTAACAGCTGTCCTGACATGCAACCCTGATGGACAGGCTCCATAACTCAAGGACTACCTATAATCTTTTTTTTCACCTAGTCCCAGCATTTGTTAAAGTGTATGAGTATGAAATAGGGACAAAAACCAGTCAAAAACCACTGCAAATTTAGACACATGGATGAAGAGGGGTGAAGGGTTGGTGGGCTAAACACCAAAGCCTTAATTCTGTTTCTAAGTGAAACATTCTGTGTTTCGTTTATTTTTATTCATTTTTTTCTATAGAAGTGTACTTTCTTTTTCACATAACAAAACTATTTTAACAATCTCTTCGGATACAGTATCCTTCACTACTTCTCCCACACTATCAGTTTAATTTATTTTTTCCTCAGGAAGCAGCTATGTCCAGCCCTGATAGTAATCTTGGGCAATCCCGTTCATGACAAAACAATCACATCTGCTCATAGCAGCACTGGCCATGAAGCTGATTCTCCTTCTTCCGGAGTGTCTGACCACGGCCGAGGATCAGGCTGCTCTACAACTGCCCCTGCCCTTAGTAGTCCTGTTGCACGGACTATCTACTACATCGCAGCGGAGCTTGTTCGGTTGGTGGGCTCAGTGGAGTCCATGAAGCCTGTTCTGCAATCTCTCTACCATCGGATGCTTCTGTATCCTCCACCACAGCACAGAGTAGAAGCTATCAAGATCATGAAAGAGGTGAATTTATACTCCCTGGTTGTTTTTTTAATTTGTCAACTTAAATTGTGATTAAACTATGAGTTGCAAATTGTTTGGAATATTGGAATATTCTTTATCGACCAAGTGTGAGTGGACACTTGGTTGATAAAATTTGTCTCTGGTGCATAAGGTCTCAACATACATACAAACAACAGAATGATAAGTCATAGATCATAAATAATAAAACACAATGATAAATCATAAAATACAATGATAAATCATAAGATACAAACAGCAAATGATAAATCATAAGATACTAATAGGTGAAGGTAGTAGGGAAGATGAGAAGAATAAAAACAATACTGCCCTACTACATGAGGAAATATCTTTAAGCATAAAGCCGTACTACATGAGTAAATATCTTTAGGCACAGTGCTGTAGGAATTTGGTGTTTTAACAGAATGACGGCATGAGGAGAAAACTATCTTTGTACCAAAGCACTGTGTTTTTGTCTTAGAAGTTTATCTTGTCCTATGTGTTTGTCTTCAATAATAACAATAATCCTGTGATAAAAGAAACAGTTATTACACAATCAGTAATAATGTTCTTCTTTGCATGAATATGTGAATAAATTTTAACAAGTGATTTCAAGATCAACTGGAAAGAGTTTATTTCTTTATTAAATTTATATGCTGCCCATCTCAAAGTGACTTTAAAAATATATTTATTGCATTCTGCTAAATTGCATTACGTTTAGATACTTGGAAGTCCTCGGCGGCTTTGTGATTTAGCAGGTCCCTGTTCCACAGAACCAGAATCAAGAAAGAGATCCATTTCAAAAAGAAAATCCCACCTGGACCTTCTTAAACTGTATGTACCCCAATTGTTTTACAATATTTGATAACTGTATTGCTTGAAACAAATATTTTCTTCTTCTTTGACAGTATTTAATTCAATAGGCATTCCATAATTCTAATTAGGAGTCTTCTTCTTCAATTGAGTGTGCTGACCTAAAAGGCTATAAATCTGTTAAATAATTATAAAATGAGCAAAACGTCTGTGGAGATTCTCAGTCATCCAGGTCATGGTTGTCCCAAAATTGCTTTTTAAAATACAACTAGACTTTCTTTGTTTTTCCTTGAATATGTTTTGCTTCTCACCCAAGAAACTTCTTCAGTTCAGAACTGAAGACCTTTGGTTCCAAATGACTGGAATGCAATTAAAAAGGCAAGAAATTGTTTTATCAGATGATGCCTTTGTAAATTAGAATAGAATAGGACAGGACAGAACAGAACAGAAGAATTGGAAGGGACCTTGGAGGTCTTCTAGTCCAACCCAACAAATGGTTATCCAATCTCTTCTTAAAAACTTCCAGTGTTGGAGCATTTACAACTTCTGGAGGCAAGTTGTTCCATTCATTAATTGTTCTAGCTCTCAGGAAAGTTCTCCTTCGTTCTAAGTTGCTTCTCTCCTTGATTATCCACTTCCAGCAACCGTTCTTTATATGTTTTAACCTCCAGTAATCATCATTGTTGCTCTTCTCTGCACTCTTTCTAGATTAATCACATGGATCTAGTTAATCAACTGCTCACTCATTACCAAAGAGATGAAACCATCCCTCTTTTTTACAGTGTAAATTCTTTATCCGTTGCATAATTGACTTAGGAGGCATAAGGGTGAAGAGTGTCTTATCTTCCTTCACATTGTAGAATCTTGGATGGGATGACTGAAGCCTGCATAAAAGGTGGCATTGAAGCCTGCTATGCCTCAGTATCCTGTGCCTGTGCCCTGCTTGGAACTCTGGATGAGTTAAGTCAAGGAAAGGGCCTGGATCAAGAGCAAGTGCATCTGCTTCTCCGACGGCTGGACGAGTTAAAAGAGGGGGCTGAGACCAGTAGAGATTCCATGGAGATCAACGATGCTGATTTTAGGTGGCAAAGACGTATCCTGTCATCAGAACATGCCCCTTGGGAGCCAGGCCATGAAAAGAGTCCTGACATCAGTATTAGTGTTACCACAGATACTGGTCAGACAACCCTAGAAGGAGATATGGGACAGACGACACCAGATTCTGACATCCGTAAAAATTCTTTGCAATCCCCAGCTGGACAAGCAGGCAAAGAAATTCATTATAAAGAGCCAGAATCAGAAACAATTGACCAACCGGATGTAGTTCAACGGAGCCATAATGTTGTCTATCCAGATATAACCAATTTCCTTTCTGTTGATTGCAAGGCCCGTTCCTGTGGATCTAGATACAGCGAGAGTAATTTCAGTGTTGAAGACCAGGATTTTTCCAGAACTGAATTTGATTCATGTGACCAATATTCTATGGCAGCAGAAAAAGACTCTGGAAGGTCAGATGTGTCGGATATAGGTTCAGATAATTGTTCTTTAGCTGATGAAGAACAGACGCCACGAGATTGTCCAGGTCACAAGTCTTTACGAACTGCTGCCCTTTCCTTGAAGCTACTTAAGAACCAGGAAGCAGATCAGCAAAGTGCCAGATTGTTTATCGAGGCTCTTGAAACACTCCTTCCTCGTCTTATCACTCTTGCTACAGTAGAAGAGGTGGATTTGGCTCTCCAGAACTTTTCTTCAACTTTTTGTTCAGGTTTGTAAGCTACTCACTTACTTTCCCATTAATGTCCAATTATTGTATTAGAACATCTCTATCGCCCGTCTTTCTGTCTGTCTATACCTATCTGTCGACCTACCTGCCTATCTACCAACCTACCTGTTTCTCCATATGTTTGCATGTGTGTGTGTGTTGTGTGTATCACATTCTGTTTTAACGAAAGGAATATGTGACTCCTTCTGGACTTTTTTTTTAAGGAAAGATCTATGGATGAGATGTTATTCCAGTGTTTTTATTGTCCTAAAAAAAGTCGATTGAATACTTATTTATTTGCATAAGAAAATCTGGTTCAGCCATATTATGGTACAAATCTTTATCTATAGGTAGTATGCAAAGTCAGTACAAATATTTATTTTGATTTTCTTTATCATATTGCTATTTAGAGCTTCTTCAAAATTGAACAGTGATTCCAGTGGTAATGGGGGGGTTGACGTATGTGCTTGAGAGAAATGGGGCCCTATCTGAAGTTATGCAGAAAAGCATCATTAACCCAAAGTTACCCAATTCAGCACTGTATCATTACTCCAGCTACAGTAGCATTATTTTTTTCTAGGAGGTTTCAACAATGTAAGTCAGGGGTGTCAAACTCAAGGCCCAGTGTCCAGATCAGTGGTGGGATTCAATTTTTTTTACTACCGGTTCTGTGGGCGTGGCTTGGTGGGCGTGGCAGGGGAAGGATAGTGTAAAATCTCCGGTCAGAGGTGGTATTTGCTGGTCTCCGAACTACTCAAAATTTCTGCTACCGGTTCTCCAGAACTGGTCAGAACCTGCTGAATACCACCTCTGGGCCAGATCCAGCCCGTGGTCTATGTGGCCTATGTGGCAGCTCTGGAAAAAGCAAAGAACTGGCCCACATGCCTCTGCCAGTGAAAATGGAGCTCGGGAGGGTCGTGCGCGGCCCTCCCAAGCTCTGTTTTTGCTGGCAGGGGTTTGCAGGAAACCATCACAACCAAAAAAGGAGCTCGGGATACTGTTTTCACTGGCAGAGAGCTTGGGCCACCACAGGCACCCTCTGACACGAGTGACATGTTGGCCATGGCCCCCCTGGCCATGCTCCCCCTCCGAGGTCAAACACAACTCTGATGTGACCCTCAATGAAAGCGAGTTTGACACCCCTGGTGTAAGTTATCATTATTTTTAATGAATTAAAAATGACTGAAACTTGGTTCTTGTGCATAATACCCATTTGTCTGTGTTGATTAGGCATGATGCATTCTTCAGGAATTGAAGGGAGTGTCAGCCTTAACTTCCAGAACCTGATGAATGCAGATAGCCTCTATGCAGTCTCTCACTACATATTCCTGCTCAACCTGAAGCTGTCAAACGCAGAATACTATCAGAAGAAACCAGCCCAGTCTGCTGTATTACTGGTGAGGTCAAAGCCTTTGTTGAACCCTACAGTGATGAACATGTTGCACTTGGCCACATCCCGATCTACCAATCTCCAGTTCAATGATAAGATTTAACCTTTCTTTGGCTCATGAGTGTGAACAGAATAATCACAGTCGCTGTTTCAGAGATCAGTTACTGGAACACAGAACATAGGTTTGAAAGAGAGGCATGCATGAAATATCGTAGAGATTAAGGTTTCTGTTTCCTCTGTTTCAGTGATTTAGGGTTTAGATTTTTAAAAAAAAAACCCTTTTGAAAAGCATTAATTAAAAGACAACAAATCCAAAATTAAAAATGAATGCAACCTTTTCCTCCTGATTCAAACCCAAGGAAAGAGACATTAAGGCTATCCCTTTTTTGCTATACCAGTTCATAGTGCCTTGAGTTCAGCCAAACATTAAATTGCTAAGAAACCTAAAGAAAAAGAAATAACAATTCAGTGAGAGAAAATGAAAGAGAGGAGCATGCAAACCTAAGACTCAGAGTGCTCAATTTGATATTGCCTCAAAATGCAGAGAGAAGGGGAGTGAGGGAGGGAAAGAGAGATGCTGAGGCTCCCTTTGTAAACATAGCAATACTTTTATTTCTCTTGGGTGCTGTATGTCACATCTGTATATGTAAAATTCCTTAAGAAAGAAACGATACATCTATCTGTACCTTACTAACTAAACAAATGCTCTTTCGTTCTCCAGAAAGAATTCATGAAACAGGTCCAATCCAGTGGAGTATTGATGGTGTTTTCTCAGGCCTGGGTTGAAGAACTTTACCATCAAGTATTGGAGAGAAATCTTCTCGGGGAAGCTGGTTATTGGGGAAATCCTGAAGAGCATAGCCTTCCACTCATCACTATGCTGACGGGTTGGTCCCCCTTTGAATACTACATAAAAACAAGCATGTGTACTAACATGAACAAAAATTTCCGTTTATACCAGCGTTTAATACATTAGAAATAAATGTTATTTATTTCCATCTAATACTACATCCTTTTTAAAATGATTGGTGAGTGAGCTATTAGACTTAATTATTTCAAATTGATATCCATTCCATTGCCACTGCCGCTGAATTGAAAGAAAGAACAAGAGTGATACATTACAGGTGATTGATCCAGGTGTTTCCCTTTGCAGACATTGATGGCTTCGGAAGCAGTGCAATAGGCGGGCAGCTGATGGCTTCGGCTTCCAAACAATCTCCTCTATCCCAGACCTGGAAACCAGATGATACATTGATGGCAGGTGAAGGGATGTGCACAGTGGGCAGCATGGCTCACATGTCATATATCAGCATCATATTTTAGGCTAAAGATTTAGTTATTGATCGAAAGGGAAATGTTTCTTTTTTCGGTGTCTTCTATATCTGCCTGTGTGATACAGATCTCATTTAAAGTCTGGTTCCAGCTTTTCCCTGTCAAAATGAATTTTGGGTTCCCCCCCCCCCCCCAATTGGGGCATTTCACGGATATCATCAATGTTATGGTTCATTAAAATGTACACTGTGGAAAAAAAATGAGTGCTTAATTTTGGAATAATTCACAACCTTTGAAATAGTTTTTCATTTTCTTTCTCTTTCTTTCTTAACCTTGCCCTCACCTTGTCTTTGTCTTATATGAGAATCTCCTCTCTGCCCTTCTATTAGCTTTAGAGGGATATATGATCCCATAAGCATCTGTGGAAGCTATTTTTCTGGGCTAATGTCAATATGATGGAGAGAATTTCCATCAGGATCATGATGGGAGGAAATTACTGTTCCCCTCCCCTCCTTAGATATAACTTCTGATTAAATATTTAGCATAGTTAGAATAATTCCTAAGACTGCCTTTCATTTTCCTTTGCTTCAGGAGTTGCTTTCGCCCGATACCTTCTAATTGGTTGCTGGAAGAATTTGATCGATACCTTATCAACCCCTCTGACTGGCCGCATGGCAGGGAGCTCCAAAGGATTAGCGTTCATTCTTGGGGCTGAAGGCATCAAGGAGCAGAACCAAAAGGAGAAGGATGCCATCTGCATGAGTCTAGATGGGCTAAGGAAGGCAGCTCGGCTCAGTTGTGCTTTAGGTAGACTTGTATTCATTGGCAAAGTTGTCATGTTTAGATAAATCTGTGCACTCTTTCAGTATCCAATAAGGGAGCTTCAACAAAGGAGAGCAATAAGCTATGTGACCTTTCTCCTTCTGAGATACCAGATATTTAGCAAATGTACAGTTAACGGCTCCTGGATTGAGCTATACTTCATCAGATGTTTTCCTCCTGATCATAGGTGTTGCTGCTAATTGTGCATCAGCCCTTGCTCAGATGGCAGCTGCCTCGTGTGTTCAAGAGGAGAAAGAGGAAAGAGATGCCCAAGAGCCCAGTGATGCCATTGCTCAAGGTATGGCTTCTCAGATGTTCAGTGGCTCTCAGTCAGATATTCATGATCTCCATATTGCTCCTTTCCCCCCTCCCCTTACTGTATTTTCTGCAAGATCAAGTGTTGTGACTGGGAGGTTTGAGCCTGCTGTGCACTTTGAGTCTGATGTGTCAGAAGACACAGGTTCGAGTGATGAGGAGGGTTTGGCATTGGGATTTGAGCCTGCTTTAATGGGAGATGCAGACGTGAGCCAGGAGGATGAGGAAGTGTCGGAATCACCCACCTTTCCAGAACCTTCCTCTTTAAGCAAAGAAAGTAAAGCTTTTACAGATTCAAAATAAGCAGAATCCCACTGCATAAAACAAGAATAGATATTTTATATATACAGTCATTTTAGAAAAAGATTTTATTATGACATAGTATTGTTAAGTCGGTGACTTGGCGGTTGACTTTTCCAATCTTTAAAAAGCTTAGCAGGGTATACTTGATTCATACTTGATGGGAGATAATCTCAGACTATTAAATTTGACTCTGCTGGGGGAAAAAAAGATTTCCAAAGTAGATGATGGCAAGCCACTTCTGTACATTGTCAAGAAAATAATATGAATGTAGCAAAGTAATAACCATGAGTGGAACAGGACTCAAGGGAGACTTTTATTTTATTCCCAATAAGGTTTGACTGGAGTTGCAACCAAGAATCCTATAAATAAAGTAAGAAACTATAGCTGGTGGTATATGAGTGTGAGATTATTTCCTATCCGCTGTTGTTTTCAGGCCCTTTTTTACCTCTTTGTAATGGACACAAATATACAGAAGGGGAAATGGGTTTTAACCTCCTGATTCTGCCCAACCTGTGAGTTCAGTTTGTTTTTTGGTCCGTATACTTGCACTCATATACTGCCTGCTGGCAATCAGAAAAATTGCCCATCTAAACTGTCTGCATTCAACTTTTTCTTTACTCTTTCTACTAAATATTTGAAGGTTAGGAACAGTGCCAGGGTGACTGTTTCCTTCCTCTCCTCTCAATGCTTTAATGTAGGATGTTTTAAAACTGGGAACTTCTTTCTCTTCTGTCTGGGAGCTTGGGTGACGTAACAAATGATGTTGTAATGACAGTGGAATGGGCAAAATCATTTTCCTTAAACATCCCAGCACCTAATGGAACTAATTTTGACTCTTCTCTTGTAAAGGAGAGGAAAAAATAGCTTGATTGAGAGGGGGGAATGGTGCTTTCATACTCTCCACATGTTAAATCCCTCCAATCCACCACAGCAAAATTAAGAAATTGACATTTTTAACCCCACCCAATCTGGCCCCATCTCAGACCATCTCTGCTTTAATTTGCTGGAAAGATATAAAAAGGCTCAGGGGTATTTATATATTGCACTGAAACTCGATAGGCTTTTAAAAGATATTCTTTTCTGTCTGAATATGTAATGATACAGTAAAACAGAAAGTGGAGCAAAAACTGGAACAGATGGGGAAGACGCAAGGTGTCTGCCTCCACACCGCTCATGTTTTATGCATGGATGCTGTTCTTGCTGTGGGATTGGAGATGGGAAGCCACAACCCAGACTGTTGGCCTCACGTGTTTAGGTAAGGAAACTCTTTGGGTGAGCCAATTTAAACTGTAATGTGGAGCGCTTGCAGACAGCTTTCTCCAAAATGAACTTGACACTTTGCGGATTGCTTAAGTTATTACCAGCTGCTTTGCCATAATTATTCCTTTAAAAAACACAAAATATTATCTGTCCCTTTATTTTTTTAAAAAAGAGTTTTGTAGAAGGTTTTGTAATAATTAAGGAGGAAAACAACATTGTGATTGCATATTTTGCTCTATGCATTTCAGCATTTGCAGGTTTTATACTACATATTTGCAATTTCTGAATTCCCTTTCCTATAGCTGTTGTTCCCCAGAAGCCCTGATTCTCATCTCACATAAAGATTTTAAGAGTTCTTCAGGTACTTGCCAACCACTTTGTCTAATTCCAATCCTTAAACTTCACTTATCAGACAGCTGCACGTACCCAGATGACCACAAGATGGCAGCTACAATATACATAAACTCAATGTTCTTTGCTGTCACCTAGTGCTCAAGAAGTGAAACAGTATTCCATAATTTTAAGGAGTTTTGTTTTTGTTTGAAGTCAATCGCTAAATGATAAGAAAAGGGAGAAATGCAATATATGAAATAACCAGGGTATTATGTATAGCAAATAGGAGGAAGGTTTTCACATGGTGGATGATGTTGGATAGGACTAGAATTTCAGCTGAGAAACCGTCAATCATGGGCCTCAGAATATTGCGTTTTTAAAGCTGTATGTATCCCAATTGCAAATAAAAGTGCAGTAACATTACTGGATGCAGTAATATTTAGGGCAGCATAATTTTCTGGTAGTTTTGGAACAGGAGAGGAAAGGTGAATATGATTTGTGTTTATCACCTCAGAAGCCTGCAGTATTAATGCTGTATCATTCACTAGCATAGACCTGGGCATTTCATAGTCCTTCAGCTGTCCCTGTCTGATCCATGGCAGTGTCTCCGGGGGACGGGGGGAATTGGCAGGGTTTAAGGCAACGGCCCTCAACAAACAGTCCCAGTTTCTCATGTGACCTTTTGAGCCCACCCCTGAACGAGCAACTTCTCTCCCCCCCATTATTTTCCCCCTAACATTGTGACAATCTAGGCAGAAACAATTGGCCTTGAAGCTAAGGCCGACCCCTGTACAATGATCCCTTTCTCTTTTGTCACAAGATCTCTCAAGTTATCTCTGATCAACCTTTTTTTAAAATCTCACTAGTTAGATGAGCTTAATTTTTGAAATCCCATGGGTTATATTTCCCCTGAAAGTGTTGAGAATTCTTGATCATTGTGCTATATGATAGCTGAAATATTTGGGTAGGGACAGTTCTTTGATAACAAGAACCAGAAATGTGCATGTTTCCAGGAATGTAGTAGAATCAAAGAAGACAAGGCAGGAGAAGGAGTGGAAAAACGTTCTCATCTTTGCTTCTGTGTTTTCCACTTAAAAATTTAATATATGAATTGTGATTCTCCCTTGCCTTTGATTACATTCCTCTTATACACTTTGCCTTTTAAGAATTCAAAATAAAAACCAAAAACCCCTTAACTTTAAAGTTATACTTCAGAATTCATTAACATTGTTTAGCTAGTAGTAAGCTACAAAATTATTATCTGTCACACATTTTATACAGTATTTGATATTTGTCCTTACAAAATTATCCAAAGATTGGTTCTTGAAAGATTATTAAGAGATTCCCCCCGCTTATTTATCTATCTAACTGGGTAGACAGTTAGACATTTCTCTCTTTCTCTCCATGTAAAGCATTCTTACACAAATGAGTTTAAGTGTAAAAATCCATCAGCCCGGCTAAATTTTGTTTCATTCTGTTTATTTAACCATCTGACTAGAGCTGCTGTGACTAGCAGAGTATTATTAATGAAGATGTACTGATTGTAGCTCCGGTTATCATTTTAATTTGCAATTAGCATATATGCTTCTTGTGTTTACAGATTTACTAGTTGAATTGGTCCCTACAGTGGTACCTTGTGTAGAGTCTGAATTTGACATATGTCAAACCTGACACCTTGGTTGTCTGTATTCTTGAAATAATTGAGGACAACCTTTAAAGGATAAATGTTTGCTATAACCAATAAGATTTGCAACGAATAAACTAGCAGAACCATTCATGCTATGTTTCACTTTCCTATTTTTATTTTCAGAGTATGTGAATACATCAGCACTCTGGAACATGCCCATTTCAGTGATGGCACTTCTCAGCCACCTGTAACTATCACCCAAGCCCAACAGGGGGCAGTGGCACTTCAAGGTGAAGTACAGGCTACAGACATTCCCCAGGAACTGATTCTGGAGCAAGAGGCAGCCCTGAGGAACAGTCCTGTCATCCAACCAGTATCTATTCAGGATCTCATCAAAGAAAGCAGTAAGGGAAGAGCTTTTGATTTTCGGGGAGGCAGCCTGATGACTGGGAGCAATGCTGCCAAGGCTATCCTCACCCTCTCTAATCAAGCCGACAGGTATTAGCAACAACATATTGGATGAAATTTGGGGTTCATTTAATATCTCACAGTGGGGGAATTGCTGCCATTTTCACAAGCTGGGACAGTTTAATAAATGTCCCTAATTAGAGGGTGTGTGTGTGTGTGTGTGTGTGTGTGTGTGTGTGTGTGTAACCACTGTTTTAAGATATGTATTAGGGGAATGTTGAAATTTATGCTCATGTGAGATGAGTAGCCATACAAATATGGCAGACAGATGAAAGATAGATAGATAAACAGATGATAAATAGATAGATAGATAGATAGATAGATAGATAGATAGATAGATAGATAGATAGATGACAGACAGACAGACAGATATTAATTCTTAGATCATTGTTCTCACTCAGTATCTTTCCATTCTGAAATTCCTATGCATGAACAGAACATAACAGATACATGAAAGGCCGAAGAGTCCATAACTTCTAGTCAACTGGGTGTCATACCCCTGTTGGAGTCTGAATCCAAGGAGGAAGACAAACAACTGACAGGGAGTGGGAGTGTGGCTTCGTTGGCTGTGGAGGAAACTGGGGAAGGGCAAAGTCTGGCTGAGCAGAGCAGGGGAGAGGTAGAATATGGGAGAGGGAGTTCAGAGGAAGACCCAGGCCAACCCCCTCTTCATCCTAGGGTATGCAGAGAGGAATGGAGAAGAGAGCAACGTGAGTTGCATGGCTTCCAGGGGAGGAAAGGCCCTGATTCCCTTCATTAGCCATAGTTGGGAAGAGAGTTTAAAAGAGATGCATGCTGAGTGCGGCAGCTGCTGGGAGCAAACATGAGTTTATCTTGTGTTGACTTTGGTTATCTGTGTTCTTGGCATCCTCCCAACTGTGTTGAGTTATTACCATGCCTTCACATCTGGAATTCTTGCCCTTGCCCTGCTGGACTAATTACCTCATTTTGCCATGATTGGACTTATAGTTACAGTTTTTGTTGACCACATTTTGGACTTGATTCTCTGCAGCCAAAGGCTGTTCCTGGGAGAGTTTTTCTCCAGCCAGAAAGTAACCAGGACACTGGGGGCAAAGTTGGAGCTAATAAAGAGACTCCTACTGATTATCTGACTCTGTTGCCTATGTGCCATGCCCCGGGTCATCACACGAGTCTTCTAATTTAGTGATGAGAAATCTAGATATGCCGCCCCACCCACATTCCATTTTTGTAGTTTCAAGAGGTCTAGAAAATCATTCTGTGAAATTTAGATGTAAACTGCCAAAAATAACAATGTAACATGTCATAAGAAACTCATAAGAGGAAGAGGAAGTGATCTATAATTGCTTTAAAGTTAGATACACAGAGAAATAAATGGATACTTCATATTGCTGTCTTTAACTTGCATTGCCAGGAATAAATGCTAGAGTTATCCTGTGCTTGGTTTGCTTGAATTTAATTATGATTAATATTGTCTGATAACATTGTAAACTGTTTCAGAAAAAGAAAGTGACAGGTTCTAACTCTGCCTCCTCCTGCCTGTTGTTAGAAAAAAAAATAGGGAAAACACACAAAGCCAAAGCTCATTGTGGTTCATTCTCAGTATGTGGCATAATAATTTAATGATTAAATTCATGATTTTTGTGTTGCCAGTTTCCTCAAGTGTTTTTTCTATGTAATGTCTTTGAACTACTTTTTTTAGCAATTATATTTTTTGCTATATTTTTTCTTATACATTTCTATCATAAAATATATCATAAATCAGGATTTCCATATAGATTTCCGCCCCCACATTTGACTGTACTATAACCATGTTCAATATATTTTCAATTTTTCCACTGTTTTGTTGGTTATCGAACTGATCAAAAGTTGAGTTATTCGAGGTCAACAAAATCAAATTAGTCCTTGCTGGTTGTATGGTATTAGGATTCAGAACTACCCTATTCCTTGTTGATTGAACTGTCACTGTTTTGGGTTTCTTACTGCTATATCTGTGTGCTAAACTCTTGCCCATAAAGGAGAAAAATATATGTGGTAACTCAGGTCTGCTTAGTGGCTTATGTAAAAAACGGGAGTGAAGATTTGATAAGGAACAATACCTTCTGCCTCTTTCCATGAAGGCTTTTTGAAGATGCTGTGGACAAACTGAATCTGATGGCTTTGGGAGGTTTCCTGTACCAGCTAAAAAAGGCCTCCCAATCCCAGCTCTTCCAGTCAGTTACAGACACAGTCGATTATTCTTTGGCCATGCCAGGTATGCTTCTGGAACAGATATTTTTAATTCTAATTATGGATGCAAAATTATTAACAATTCATGTTCAAGAACGTTAATGCCTGTCACATTCTAGAATGCCCTAATGATGCACTAACTTTATTGTCTTTTTGACACCTGCCAATTTATTTTAATTCTCTCAGGCATTTTAATCAGTCAGTCTGCTAATTTTAAAGCTATATGATGCTTAGTAACTTTTGAATTATTTTGCTCGCTGCTTTTATTTGTTTAGTGTTATATACTTTAACTACTTGCTTACTGGGTTTTATTGTATATTTTAGAAGTTTTTAGAATTGCATGGTTTGTATTTTATTGTGCTGTAGGCCACACTGGGGCAAACTTGGTTTTGAAGGGTTAATTTTAAAATGTAAATATAATGAATGACTGAACTAATAGCTGGAAACAATGAAGAAGTTGGATGTGTATGTAGAGACTGTGTTATTTTAATCTTTTAATTCATATTACCAGATATTCTACTCATTCTTAACTTCTAGGAGAAATAAAATCCACTCAAGAAAGAAGAAGTGCACTTCACTTGTTCCGTCTAGGAGGAGCCATGCTCCGAATTGTGAGGAGTAGAAAACGGCCTTTGCTCCATCTTATGCGTTGTTGGCACCTAGTGGCTCCTCACTTAGTGGAAGTGAGTGAAATTGGGGATGGGAAGAGGAAAAAAAATATAGAGTTTATACTATTTTCACATTGCAATTTGCACCCCAATATTTTTATTTTATTTTATGTAGAAGAATGAAAAACCTGCCTCATTTCAGAGATTTTAAGACAGGAATATCCAACCTTGGCAACTTTAAGATTTGTGGATTTCAACTTACAGAATTCTCATACTGGCTGGGTTATTGTGGAAGTTGAAGTCCACAAGTCTTCAAGTTGCCAAGAGTGGACAATCCTGTTCTAAGGAAGTATATTAAATCAAAATACAAGGAACAATGTACTTACATTAAAAAAATAAGAAACATTCACGGATGTTTTTTCTACCTGTTTTATTACCAGAGGCCTTCTGGAATAGCCCTATTTTAACTATTCTCTGTAAGGCCATAAGAGTGGGGCCACCTTGCCTTGTTCCAAAGCAAGGAAGGAAGCAGCCATTAAGAACATCTGCATCAAAATTCTGTTCTGTTCAGCTTCCTGATTAGAGGGAACTACCAGGTGTTCTCCATTCACCTGGATCAGGTGGTGTTCTGACCAAGGCTTCCTGAGACAGTAACAATCTCACGCTGTTCCCAAAAACCTTTTATTTTATTTCAACAGCTGTGAATTATATGCATTCACAAACTGTAATGAGTCCCAAACAGTTTATGAATAGTTGAACAGAAGTCTGCCACAGTCTTTCGGGATAAGGCTGATAAATACCCACTTTATCTCCCTTGAAATGCTGCCAACAATTAAATTGTCAATTAGCTGTACAAGGCCAAAGGGAGAACGAAGTCCACACAGAGCTTCAGAGTTTAAACCGACCAGAACGAACAAAGTTGCTTCCTGCAAAGGGTCATGTCCCTTTGCTCTTCCTTTATGTCTTATGGGAGGGGCCAATCATCTCTAAGAATGTCTGTGTTTCCTCAGTTTTCTTGATCTGCCTGTTATCAACAAAAAATATTATATATTTTGCTTCTTATTCTCTCGTTGCAGGCTGCCTGCCATAAAGAAACACATGTTTCTCGGAAGGCTGTTTCTTTTATCCATGACATCCTTACAGAGGTTCTGACAGTTTGGAATGAACCACCTCATTTTCACTTCAATGAGGCACTTTTTCGTCCCTTTGAGCGCATCATGCAGCTTGAACTTTGTGATGAGGACATTCAGGATCAGGCAAGCTAGATTTTGGTTAAGTAAGGAGGAAACTGTCCTCAGGTTTTTAAGTTTCGATTAAAAAAAAGATTATATGCCTGATGGATACAGTTTTGCATTTGTTTATACAGGTACAGTAGTCATGGTCTATTTGTAGTTACCACAGATCTCTCCAAAACTACTTACAACCTGCTTTTGAAATTATAATGGCCTCACACAAGCTGTGTGGTCACATGATCGCATTTTGGGCTCTTGGCAACTAGCTCACCTTTATGGCCATTTGCAGTGTCTCGCAGTCATGCAACCAGAATTTGTAACAGTTTTGCTGTTTTCCAGTGTTTACTTCCAGTTCCCAGACAAATGATTGGAGAAAATGATTTCTTTAACAGCTACAGAGTTTGCTTTTAACAGGATCACCATTCTGTATAACACATTACTGTGAATAGCTGAAACAGAAAACACCGTCTCAGGGTTTTAAGTAATACTCCCAGGATAAATAGGACTCCGAGGCAAGCAGGTTCCTCAAAGGAAATATTTAGGAAATATTTATTGGAAATATCATTTTATTGGATGATATTTATTGGAAATATCATTTTGGCACAGGTTGGTGAAAGCCAATTCTGAATATTCCCGTGGTTTTCACCAAGTTAAAAGTAAAAGTTTTCCCCCTTCCCCAAACAGTCAGTCCAATCATTGTGTCGTCCAGTTGCCTGGTAACATCGCTCCACCTCTCTCTGAGCACCTGTGGGAATATCCTTGGTTCCCAAGAGAAAGTATTTTGGCTACAACCCCCTCTATCTCTAGTCCCCCTTCCCTAACCATCAGCTCCAGTGTTGCAACACTGAAGCTCAATAAATGGCCTTGCTCAGGCCAGCTTCAGGATTGACACACTGATCAGTTGTATCAGGATAAAGGTATCCCAACAAAAATTAATTTAATTTTTTTAAATTATTTATTAAACTTGTATGCCACCCATCACAGGACAAATATTTTTAGTGCTATGATTAGAAACATATAGTTGATAAAGAAGCTGATTGTAATAATCCATATCCTGGTTTTTTTTATGTACTCATACGAGATTCATGAAGGTATAATGCCATATTTAGAACATTCCCTAATTTAGGGCTTTCATTTTTCAGGAGCTCCTCAACTCAGCTCTGATATTCATATTTCTCAAATTTCCCAGTGTCTACACCACTGTAATGTATGAATTCACTTGATAAATAACCTAACGTAGATTTCATTATATGTACAGTAATTCACCGGTTAATGGACCTTGTGAGTCTGAACTACAGGTTGTCTTTATTCACAATTACCTCATACATGGCCGCTTGGAGTTATGACAGTGATGAAAAACTTTGATCTATCCTCACATTTATAACCTTCACCAATTTGTAAAGCAAAGTTGAAGTAAGGTCACAAGCACAGTCACAGTTTCATTCATAAGCCAAAGTGCCAGTCCCAATGAGGGGCCTGTCTGTAATTCATTTGCTTGACCCCAGTGAGTATGTTCTGAGCCTAGCTTAGTCAAGATCCAGCTTATCATTTTCTTTATGTTGTTTATTTTCTTTATAATGCTTTGGTGCTTCAATTATACCAGGTGGTCACATCTATAGGAGAGCTGGTGGAGGTGTGCTCAACTCGAATTCAATCAGGCTGGAGACCATTGTTCAGTGCTTTAGAAACTGTGCGCAGCAGCAGCAGCAAATCAGAAGTTAAAGAGTATCTTGTTGGAGAGTATTTGATGGGTGAGCTTCTCTAATTCTCTCTTCCCCCTCCTCCTGCTTTAAGAATTAATTTCTGAAAACCAATCTGTTGCAAAATATTGAAAAATACTGACCAACCTGGTAAATTACAGCTAATACAAAACTTTGTTGCAAAATATTACAAATAATCAAATATACTTGTATTTCTGTTTGATAAATAAACCTTGATTTTTATTGCTTCAGTTTTTTAGCTTATTTCAGGAATAATCTAATGATTAGGACTGATTTTTAAGAAATATCACTATTGCCTTTGTGCTTGATTTTCGAAGCTACCCGTAAAGCTAAACAATCCATATGATAACTATTTTTACTCCCTAATACCTCACAATTTCAGCATGAAAATAATCTGTGTTTATTTTTGTTGCTGCTGACCTCAAGGTGTTAGGTATATACAGGCAATGCCATGCCTACTGCTCAATCTGCAGAAGCCTGCACATCCTCAGGTTAATATGTTCTCTCACTATTAGGGCTGCACACCCACAGGGCTTCCCATCCAAAGTAGTGACTGGACCTCAGGGAGAATAACTTTTTAAAGAATGAGGCCCAGCTTTCAGCATATCCAGACTAAAATAACCTATTTGATTACTTTAAAAAAAAAAAAGTTTGAGTGTGTTTATCCCGGACTGGTCTTAAATTTCTTCTTTTCTTCTGCCCAGCTACACTGCTGTTCCAGTAAGAATTAATTCCCTCTTTATATCCCTGTAATCCCTTAATTCAGGAGAGTCAGGGTGGCTGGGTGGAATTGAGCATTTACTGGCCAGATGCCTTTCCTGATGCCACACAGAGTTCACAGCAGATATCTTTTCTTTTTATCCGAGAAGAAAAACATCATAGGATTGAACTCCCTATCTTTCAAATGGGAGGCAAGGATCTTCACCACTAGACCACCACTCTGCTCAAATATTACAGAAAACCACAACTAAAAAAACCTCCAAACTACAACCAACAGCCTTTGCCAACTGAACTGATGTGAAATGTGCTGACCCTAGTAACCTTTTTTTTTTCTGAAAGTATTCATCCCTCCAGGCATTTAATAATTAACAGTGATCCAACTGGTAGTCAAAGTCCAAATCAGATGCTTGTCTGATTGGACATTCTTCTAGCTTCATCTCCTTCCATACTGAACAGTTCAATCAGTAGGATCCATGATTATTTTGCAACTATGCAATGACTTGTGTAATTGCATAATCAGATGGAGATGCACAGTACTTTTATTTAAGTGATTTATAGCTTATCTCCTTATGGTAGCGCTTTATCAGCTTTATCAGTGGAACATGAAGCAGCAACATGTAGATTACAAAAACTCATACTTTCTAATGTTAATGACTATTGATTTGGATTTTTTTCCAGTCCAGATATGTTATTCTTATACATGTATGAATGTTCTTATAGGAAGCTGCTTCTTGCTGAATTAGACCATTAGCGCCCCCTTTATCAGAGGTTATTAGCAGAGGCTCTACAAAGCTGGACATGGAATTTTTTCACATAAAGGTTCCAGGGATTAAATCTATGGATTTCTAATACCACCATAATTGCAATAAGAATTCAAAGTTCCTGTTTTGTTCATAAAGATACATCAATGTTTATTCAATCTCTCTTGGTTTATAATTTGCCATTGGAAACATCGCCATGTGCTGGAGTCCTAGTATCCCCATCTTTGCATAAACCTGCTTGGGACTTAACTTTGAGACATAATTTTAAAATGCAGATGGTATACTTCAAAAAAAGCCCACACCAAATAACATTATGTACTCTGAAGCCATTCGGCTTCTAGAAAATGGAACATTTTGTAATTATTTAAACATTTTCTCTGTCTTTTAGGAAAATGCCAGGCTCCAGTATTTGATGTCTTTGAAGCTTTTCTAAATACTGACAACATCCAAGTCTTTGCAAATGCAGCCACCAGTTACATCATATGTCTTATGAAGTTTGTCAAAGGATTGGGTAAAACTCTTTTTTTTAGGGGAAAAATGGGCAAATTTTATGTCATATGAGGATTCATGTTTGTTGAAACAGATGTCAAGCAGTGTGTAATGGAGGGTAGCCAACACCAAAAACTACTACTGAATGCAGTTAAACTTACAACAATACCCTTATAACTTTCCAAGAATGCTGAAGAACATTTTTGCATTATATTTTAGATAGCTCTTTTGCTATTTTCTGTGGCTATCATTTCCCATATTATGCCTTCAATTAGCATTCATTAACAACTGTAGGAGAGTTTTATGCAGCTTTCCTAGTGCTCTAAATTCAGAATTGGTAAGACTCTAAAACCCAGGAGTGCAGGCAATCTTCCCAAAGATTAACAAGACAATCAGCATTTTTTTTAGTTTTAACAGTTTTATTAGGCTATAATATAAAATACAAAAACACAAAGGGGAGAGAATGGGGAAGAGAGAACTTTAGAAAAGAAAAGAAAAAAGATAAAATGGTGTAGACTTCTGATTCCCTCTGGTGCAGTAGAATAAGGCATTAAACATCAAACCTCAACTTTTTACTTTTGCATAATAGTATAAACTAGCCATTTCTATAGCAACAAATCCATATAATCAATAAAACCCAAAATCAAAGTGTCCTTTTTTCCCCACCTCAAGCACAAAGTCCAGAAATGGTTTCCAAGTAGAAACAAAAATACTTATATTCTTTTCTTTGATCCAAATAGTCAGTTTAGCCATCTCTGCTTAACTCCATCAAATTTTGCAGCCATTCATCCATTGTAGGAATCAAAATATCCTTCCATTTTTGTGCATAGGGTAGTCTTGTTGCCATCAACATATATAAGGTCCAACTTTTTCCCCCACATCTTTTTCAAAGTCAGCATTTTTTTAAAAAAGCCTTTTATTATAGAAAGAAAAATGCAATAGTAGGGCACACTCTGGCTCCACATGATTGGGTACAATCAAAATGGAATATGTTGAACCCTGAGGAAAAGCTAGGCATACGTGGGCACTCATGTGTTGTATTTGATCCCTGAATCAAGCCAACAATTTCTGCCTTCTCCTACCTGTTAATCCTTTGAAACCCTGTTTTATTTTTGTGCCTGAGTAAATCTTTCTGGATTTGATTGACAA